GTCAATCACCCAGTTGGGCTGGAAGTTGGTCGGCGGGTCCGGCCGGATCGCCGGCTGCTCGTTGCGCGACAGCAAAAAGTAGTCCAAGAGCTCGTCGCCGTACACCGAGTGCTGCTGCTCCTTCATGTCCTGGATCATCTCCTCGCGCTTGCGCTTGCGCTGCTGCTGCGTCGACACCGATTGTGACTGCGACGGCGCCACCGAAAACTGGGACAGGTCGTTGTGGTGCAGGTCGTCGTCGGCTGCGTACGACACCGACGCAACCGTCAGGTTGTCCGGCGTGTCGTCGTCGCCCATCGCCACGTCGGCCCCGTCGACCATCTCTTCGTGGATCGGCGGCGGCGCCGTCCACTTCGGCACGGCCGGCCGCGCGCGGGGTGCCTTGGGCTTGCTCGTGTGCCGCGGGGCCGGCGGCGGGCTGACGTCGCCGGGCGTAAACTCAAAAATGGGCCGCAGCCGGTCGTACACGTTGTTGCGCTGGGCCAGCAGCATGCCACTCTCCAGCGGGATCCATGTGCCCTGGTATTTGCCGTAGCCGCCCTGGATCTTCTCGTGCACGTCCTTTTGCACTTCGCGCTCCAGAATTCGTGTGCGCAGCGGCTTGTCGAACCCGGCCGCCTTCAAAATGTGTGTTGCATTGATCCAGTCGTCATGCCGCCGGCGCATCACATGCTCTTTCAGGTCGACGCCGAACTGATACTCATACACGGGGATCTAGGACAGGGGCAGGGGGACAGTTAGTATTCAAGTACATTCATGACAGTGGCAGATTGACAATCAATAGGCCAACAGGTAACAGGTCAGCATCATACACCACTGTATGTCGCGCTGTACACGCCGGGCTCCTTTGTCGCCATCGTGGGCGACAGTCCTGAGGACGGCAAAAGGAGAGGTGAGGGATGAAAGACGGAGGTGGCGACGGGTGTCGTCGAGTGGGCACGGAGCGTTCACAATGGAGGCAAATGAGGGGAGTCGCCGAGATCGGGTTGTGATCGAAGATGTCGTCGGTTGCCAGGATCGAGAACAGCGAGGGCGGCGGGAATGGATGTCGATGTGTACAAAAAGAAACGATTGAGAAATATGACAAGTGAATGGGCCAGTACGTCGTAGTGTGGCATGCGCGGCTCGGGCAAGAAAAGGTCTAGGCGTGATCTCGTTCCTCGTTTTCGACCAGGATCGGGAAGGGAAGCGAAAAGAGGAACGCAGAGAGACGCGTAGAGTGGCAGAGGGAGAACGGGGCAGACGCGTGCCGACGCGCGAAAATCAATTAAACCTGGAGTCGAGGCCTGAGGCAGAGATTCTGGGGGAACGGAATAGGGAACAGCGAGGCCACTTAGGGCAGGTGCGCAAAGTGGGCCGGATAGCTACGCGTCCAGGGCGCGTCGCGTATTACATAATCCGGCTTGCACTTCGAACAGCCACTGACGTCGACATCGCCTATGGAAAATCGCAATAGAAAGTGGTTTTTGCAACCAAAGAATGCAACTTCAAGTGCAGCCACACACGTGGCATGTATTGCGTTGAATTATGGGATACTTGTCGGGTGCTGCAAATTGACAAACACCCACCCATGCGTCCAAATTGCCCATTGGCAAGCATCACGATGGTGGACGTTAATCTCTCCACCTCATGCTTCCTCAGACAACGATCATCACTTCCATAAATTGTATTACTTGGTCTACCGCATTCTAGCTCTTGGGTATAATTGGTACCACAAATGACAGACAAGGTTGCACGAGCGTGCAGCCCGTCCAACGCACACATCACACATCACAGCTCCCATTGTCCGCTGCGCGCGCCACAACCCCCCTAGCCAGAGAGCTCGGCTCCGTGGCTCTGCTGCGAGTCCCGCATGGCCTCGGCCTCCTTGGCTTCCAGCGCGCCCGGTTCCATGGGGTCGACGCCCGCGCGCATGGCCTCCATGGCCTCGCCCGCCGGTCCCGTGAACCACCTGTGCGCCCACAACACCCAGCTGCCAATGGCAAAGATGCCGATGATGCCGACAGCAACCACGGTGTAGTTGAGCGTCTGATCGGTCACGGGGTTGGTGGTGGGCAGGCAGAACACCACGGAGATGCAGCCGATCCAGGCACAGGCACCGGCGGCAATGGGCCGGCTGAAGATGCCCAGGTTAAAGGGGCCCTTGATGGCGACAAAGGACGTGTGCCAGATGAGGCCGATCAGAATGGGCAGGCCATAGCTAATGTACAGGCCAATGGTGGCAATGGACGTGGCGGCGGAAAACGCGACGCTCGAGCCCAGCGAGGGCAGGGCCAGGATGAAGGACAGCAGGGCGGCGAGCCAGACGGTGCGCACGGGCGACTGGAAGCGGCGGTCGACGCTGTGAAAAAAAGGGTGGATGCCGCCGTCGCGGGCAAAGGCAAACATCATGCGGCTGTTGCTCGTCATGCTGAAGAGGCCGCAGTGCCAGACGCAAATCATGATGATGCTAAAGACGGCCAGGGCGCCGTCCTCGCCAAAGACGTCGACAAAAATCTGCAGGACGGGCTGGCCATACTGGCTGGTGATGGTGCCCTCAAAGTCCTGGACGCTGAACAAAAAGGCCATGAGCACGAAGAAGCCAAAGAGCGCGCTGAAGCCGACGCTGGACACGACGCCAATGGGCGCGCTCCACGAGGCGTTCTTGGTCTCCTCGCTCAGATGCGCCGACGCGTCGAAGCCCGTCAGCGTGTACTGCGACAGCAGGGCGCCGCACAGCGCCACGTAGGCCGGGCTCGCACGGATGCTCCAGCCGACCGTGTCCAGGCCGGTGCCGTCGTAGAACGTCTGGAAGACAAACGAGGCCGGCTGATGTGTGGGTGCCTTGGCCAGCACGGCAATGCAGATGGCGCTGACGCCCGCCGAGTGCAAAAATATGGACACGTTGTTCAAGTATTTGAGCACGCGCACGCCAAACGTGTTGACCAGCGCGTGGGACACGAGAATGGCGGCGTAGATGCCAATCGTCTTGCCCGCCGTCGGCGTGTAGGTGGTGCTCTTGACGGTCGCGGCCGTGGCAATCAAGCCGGCGAGACCAAACGAGATGCCCGTGGTGACGGCGACCTGCCCAAGCAAGTTGAACCAGCCAGTCAGCCAGGCGGCAAAGGGCGACCAACGCGGCGGGGCCAGCAGGGCCGACCAAAAGTACGGGCCACCGCTCGTGGGGATGGCCGACACGATCTCGGCCATGGCGATGGCGACGAGCATGGTGAAGAAGGAGACGAGGATCCAGCCGACAGACATGACTGGGGGACACGTGTGTTAGTGGATAGAATATGGGTGGGATATGCGTGTGAAGGGCGTAAGAGGCGATGCTTACCTGCCGGGCCGCCAGTGTTGAGGCCATAGGAAAAGAGGGTCGTTAGGCCCGTTATGACGCTGATGATGGAAAACGATACGCCAAAGTTATGTGCGAGGCCCCAATCACGCCGCAGCTCCTGCTTGTAGCCAAAACTGGCCAGACGATCTTCGTCCTGCTCGGCGACCGTGTTGGTCGGCTGGCGCTCAAGCACGGCTCCGTCGGCCATTGTCGCAGCCGTGATGCAGTTGTCGTATGTCGTCGTTGAGGGAGATAACAGCCAAAGCGTCCGACGTCTTGTGTCGCGTGATATGCTGCTCAGCAGATAAGGGAGTGCCGCGGTCGCAATCGAAGATCAGGTTCGCGACGATACGACTGTTTCAGAGGACAACAACAATGTAAAGTTGACCTCGCTGAAGACAGACACTCTTTACAACCAGGCAAGCAAGTTAACAGTCGCAGACAACGCACGTCAGCAGGCGATCGTTTGTCTTTTATGCATATCCACCCCAGTTTGCCAGTTGTGACTCTGCACGATAACCAGCAAGAAAGTGGCCATTGGGTGAGCTTGGCAAGATAAAGAAGGCAGACGGGCGAGTCGAGACTCCGAGGCAAAGCTGCCTTGGTGGGAACGAATCTAAGACCAAAAGGAACAAAAGGAACCGAAAGATGGGGTAGTGTCGCGCGAACGAGCCAAAGCCATCGCTCTAACAACAAGCGTCCGGTTATCAGTGGACTCGCTAGACGAGTAGAAGAAGGGGGAGGGGTTGGCCTGGCTCGGATGCAAATACGGAGTGGAGGCGGCATAGTCGATGGCGCTGTGCTGTGACTGGCTGCGAACCGGCCGTGGTTTCCATTTGGTGGCTCGATTGTGTAAACATTGCTCTTGCCGGCAGTTCGCTTCAGTGATGCTGTGCTTGGTTGCTCTTTCCTTGTTGGCCCTCGCTCTCTCTTGTCGCCTTTTGCTGCAGCCCGTCCTCATAAAGGCAGTCACGCCTCCAAGCTGACCTCCAAAATCCCCCCGTCCCCTCTTTCCACATTCTGTTGTGCACGCGCCCAGCCTCTGGGGCGTTCCGCCGTTGCAGCACTATCCTTCTTTTTTATGGCCATTCCCTTTCTATCATTGTACGACGGCATCGCCGCCAATGTCGTATCTTCGGCTATCAGTGGCTATCTTACCTACATGCCAGACCGGGTTTATGACTGACTATGACCGGGCTTGGGCGAATGCGGACAGTCGAAGCGACGCCGACTGAGGTGAGCTGAAGTGAAATACGACCTTTACCACACAACGAACTTATCTGTGGGGCAAGCCCCCTCCCCAGAATGGAAGGTCACCTACGATATTTGGAAAGGAAGCACATCTCCCTGTATGTACGCAATGTCGCTGTTTCAACGCTAACATCTTCTAGGCGGACGGGGGTTGTCGAGTTGTGTCCAGACCAAGAGTTGGTGCCGGCAGGCAATGTGGGGGGAAGTAGGCTTCTGAATAGGAGTCACGTTACTTTCAGCACATTTGCACGTGGCGATAATGGTCTCGCTATCAGACTGCGCTGGCCCACTTTAAACTTTTTTCTTTCTAGACGATGTTCGACCCAGGCCTCGTTGCGCATTGACGCCGGCGGCTGTGGTTTGACTGCGTTTACGACTTCCCTCGTCTTGCCAGCCCTCGCCGACCGCCATCACACACTCTCCTCCCACAATGCCCTCCGCAATTGGCCTGCCCTCGCAATACACAATGACCGAACTCGCGGATCGGAAGCGGCCGCGCGCCGACAACGACGAGACACCACGCAAGTCCAAGAAAGCCAAGGAGGGCGAGGCCGACAAGAGGGAGAAGAAGGACAAGAAGGACAAGAAAGACAAGAAGGACAAGAAGGACAAGAAGAGCAAAGAAAAGGAAAGCAAAGAGAAGAAAGAGAAGAAGAGCAGAGAAAACAGGAAAAGTCGTCAGCATCAACACCAGCACCACAAAGCCAGACGGCAGGCCACCTCAGCCTGCCGTCCGACGACCCGGACGCCGCCGTCTTTCCCTTTTACACGCAGACCATCTCCCTCTGGGTGCCCCTCTTTCCGCTCGGCTTCGACAAGCCCGTCACCAGCGCCGCCACCCAGCATCTGGCCGGCCTTGTCGACCACTATGCGCCGCAGCTCGGCGGCTATCTCTTGGCCTACCGCAATGTCAACCTGTCCGAAACCGCTACCCGTGCCGACCCCCGCAACCCTCCGACGGATGCCACGCCGGCTACGCTCACCTCAATTGACGAGTACGCCGTGGGTTTTGGCTGGATGACAGCCGATGTCGACCTCTTTGTGCCAAGCCGCGGCGCCTGGCTCGAGGGCACCGTCATCCTCCAAAACGAGGGCGCCATTGGCGTCAGCTGCTGGGACAAGTTCAATGCCAGTATTGAGGCGGCACGGTTGCCCACAGGCTGGCAGTACGTCGAGCTGGAGGACGTTGCGGAAACAGGTGCTGGGGCGACAAACGGCGACGACATGGACACAGCCGAGGATGGCGGGGCGCAAGGGGCCCCGCCAGGCGCCGCCACAGACACAGAGTCCGTCGCGCCGCTGCAGGCCACGGGGTACTGGGCAGACGCCGACGGCCGGCCGGTCGAGGGCAAGATCCGCTTCCGCATCAAGGACTTTGACGTCGGCCTGGCCGGCGACAACGGCTACATTGCCATTGAGGGCACCATGCTGCCCGCCGACGAGGAGCGTGCACTGAAAGCCAAGGAGCGCGCACGCATGGCCCGTGGCCGCGACAACTACATTACAGGCCAGAAGGTGCGCCGGCTGCCCGAGTTCAGCATCACGCAGTTTGGCAGGGAGGAGGAGGAGGAGGAGAGCGGGCAGAAGGTGGAGCTGTACAAGGGCAGTCAGCCAGGATCGCCAGAGTAGGGTGTGCCTGAGAGAGTGAGAGAGACTGCATATACGTGTGCTGTCTAGTCGTTGAATTGTCGTTTTATTATTCGTGTATCCGGCCTTGCATTTGGGTTCTCTTTCTACGTTATTTCTGCACATTTCTGCATAAAGGACGGCGTCACTCGTTGTTTTCAAGGCACAGCGCATTTGCGCCCTATTTCGTCCAGCTCGCTCAATACATCGTGGGATTATCATCAAAGTCTTATGTCTTCCTTGTAATAATCTCATGCTTTCCACACGTTTGTCAACAGCATTTTGTCAGACACAGATACCAACTGCACTGCAGTCCGAAAAATCTGACTGGAACTTACAGGAGTCGGCTTAGGAATTAGCCTCCGGATAGCGGATGTCTGCCTCCTAGGAGCTTCTGCTTCTGTAGTAGCCGAACTACGCAGTGGGTGGCATGCCGTGCCCCGCTAACATAAAGACGCCATCGACGTCGCGTGGAGCTTCACTGCGTCGCCAGTAGTGCTGATTTGGAGCTCAAGCCCCTCCAATGCGGGATCGGCGCCGGCGGTCATGGACGCCATTAATAAACTTGGGAGCTTCGTGGTTCTTAAACATTTTCCCGGCCAGCGTTTGTTTGCCAGGTTGTCCATGTTTCTTTAGCTCTTGCTCTCTCCTTTCTCTTCTGTTAATCTGACGCTCATAAACTGCTTTTCTCGACAACTTGACTTTTTTCCTCCTCACCTTTCGCCATTGCATACACACTCCTCACTTTACAGCCTCGCCCTTTACCCTTCACGCTTCACACATAGCAAACATGTCGTTCGCGCCTTCTCGCCTGCTCATCTTTGGCGCCACCGGCGCCATTGGCAAGTACATCACCGAGGCCGTCCTGGCAGCCAAGCCGGCGTTCTCGCACGTATCCATCTTCACATCGACCAACACCGCCACCACCAAACCGGAGCTGCTGTCCCGCTGGAAGGCCTCGGGTGTCCCGCTGTCCGTCGTCGTCGGCGACGTCACCAGTGCCGACGACGTCGCCAACGCCTACAAGTCCGAGAAGCCCGACACGGTCATCTCGGCGCTGGGCCGCGGCGCGCTCCACGTCCAGACCAAGCTCGTCGAGCTCGCCGAGGCGTCGGAGTCGGTCAAGTGGCTGTTCCCCTCCGAGTACGGCACCGACATTGAGCACAACGCCAAGAGCCCCAACGAGAAGCCGCACCAGAACAAGCTGGCCCTGCGCAAGTACATCCGCGAGAACGTCAAGAAGCTGCACGTCACCTACCTGGTCACCGGCCCGTACTTTGACATGTGGGTGGCCTCGCCCAGCGACCCCAAGCTGGGCAGGTTCGACGCGGCCAACAAGCAGGCCTATGTCATTGAGGACGGCGAAGGCAAGATCGGCTTCTGCACGATGCTCGACGTCGGCAAGTTCTTGGTGGCTGCCCTGCGCCACCCGCAAGAGTCCTTTGGCAAGGCCCTCAAGGTGCAGTCCTTTGTCGTCACGCCCAACGAGGTGGTCGCCGAGTACGAGAAGCAGACGGGCGGCGACAAGTGGCAGGTCACCAAGGTGCCGCTGGCGGAGCTGAAGGCGCTCGAGGAAAAGGCATGGGCAGACGCCATTCCTACGGCCACGCCCTACACGCTGCGCCGCATCTGGGCCGAGGGCGGCACCCTGTACGAGAAGAACGACAACGAGCTGATTGGCATCGGCCCCAACGACACGGACAGCTTGGCAACGGCTGTAGGCCGGGCGCTGGCAAGTAACTAAAGAACAGATGGGGGAGAGCTGAGTTGGTGATGTTGGCGGAAGAACTTTGGGCCCAGGGCGTGCTCTAGCGCAAATGAGTAGCGCTGTCCGTTAGTGAAGCTTCTCGCTGGACGCCAGGCACCGCAGCAGTGTCGGCGCAAGTTGAAATTTCAGTGAATAGTATGCATGTAATGGAGAATCAACAAGTTCGAGAGTCGTCGGAATAGGAAACTTGTACTCGCTCCGAGCGGTAACCCGTGCAGCCAATCTTACTGATAAGCTGGCCATCCCATCGAATGCACCTCCAAACTCCGATTGAGGGGCCAGTGGCTTGGCTCCCTGGGGTCGTAGCTTCCCCACGTATCAACTGTATTGGCGCTCCTTCCCCAAATGAATTACCATGCGGCTGATGGTCCGACCAGCTGAGCTCCACAACAAAGACGGGGATCGCTGCACAACAAACCGACACTCCGAAACACCCAACATCATCGCCATCACCAGCATCAGCACCAGCATCATAACCCCGCACGATCGTCACTCGAATATCCATACATCTCGGGTCTGCATTCGTCCAGTAGCGCACCAAACGCATCTCCCATCCGCCATGCTTCCTGCCGCGCTGCGGCGCGTCACTGACGGCGTCACGCCGTACTTTTGCCTGCTGCTGGTCGTCGTCACACTCGGCCCGCACCAGTTCGGCTTCCACCTGGCCGAGCTCAACGCGCCCCAGGATGTCCTGACCTGCCACCAACAGGGCATGCCGGCCGGCAAGATCACCGGCACGTCCCTCCCCGACTGCATCCCCATGACAGAGGCCCAGTTCGCGACCGTCTCGTCCGTCTTCACCATCGGCGGCCTTGTCGGGGCCCTTGTGGCGGGACCCTTTTGCAGCCGTGAGGGCCGCCTGCTCGCCATGCGTCTGACGGCCGCTGTCTTTTTGCTGGGCTCCGTCACCGAGACGTTTGCGCCGTCGGTCGCGGTTCTCGCCATCGGCCGCGTCCTCAACGGCCTCGGCGCAGGAGCGTCGACGGTGATTGTGCCGCTCTACATCAGCGAGGTCGCGCCTGCGCAGGCACGCGGCTTCTTTGGCGCCTTCACCCAGATCACCGTCAACGTTGGCATCCTGTTCACCCAGACGCTCGGCTTCTTTTTGAGCCACGGCGCGGCGTGGCGGTCCATTCTGGGCACCGGCATGGCCCTGGCCGCCGTCCAGTTTGTGGGCCTGCTGGCCGTGCCCGAGAGCCCGGCCTGGCTGGCGGCGCGCGGCGGCGAGGGCAAGAGGGTCGAGGCGAAGCGCATCCTGCAGCGCATCCGGGGCAAGGCCGCCAACCTGGACGACGAGGTCGCCCCCTGGCCAGCCGCTGGCTCTGCCGAGGAACAGGCCCTTCTGGACCAGAACAACGGCGCCGCCGTCGCTGCCGTCCCCGAGCTGGACGAACCTTCCGCGCTGGACGCTGCGTCCCTGTCCGGCGGCATCGTCGCCGTTGCGCCGCCCTCGCCCCGCGGCCCCGTGGCCCTGGATGTCAAACAAAAGGCCCGGGCCCCGGTCGGCTTCTTTGAACTGCTGGTCGACGCCCACTACCGACCCGCCCTCATCGCCGTCATAGGAATCATGTTCGCGCAACAGGTGTGCGGTATCAACTCCGTGATCATGTATTCCGTGTCCCTTCTCAACGGCATGCTGCCGCTCAACTCGGCCCTCCTCACCATTATTATCTCCTGCGTAAACTTGGTGACCACGATGCTCTGCGCCCCGCTGCCCGACCGCCTCGGCCGCAAGGCGTGTCTCCTGCTGTCGGTCATCGGCCAGGGCTCCAGCGCGTTCGTCCTTGCCTTTTCCATCGTCTACGGCGTCAAGATCTTGTCGGCGTTTTCGGTGCTGACGTTTGTCGCCTTTTTCGCCGTCGGCCTGGGCCCCGTGCCCTTCATTCTGGCGTCCGAGCTCGTCGGTCAGGAAGCTGTTGGTGCGACGCAGTCGTGGGCGCTGGGCGCCAACTACGTGGCCACCTTCTTGGTTGCCCAGTTCTTCCCCCTCATCAACACTGCCCTCAACAACCGCTTTGGCGGTGCTGGCTGGGTCTATTTTTTGTTTGCCATCTTCGCCGCTCTCTCCACCGTCTTCTTTTGGTTCTATGTGCCGGAGACGAACGGCAAGAAGGACGCCGACGAGGTCTGGGGCCGCACGTCGCGCATTGACTAGCCGTCTGGGCCTCCCGGCGACCGGGCTAGCACGGCCTAGTCGTTGGGCTTCGTACCCGACTCCTGATGTACCCGAGTAGTCAGCTTGACGCTTTGTCTGTTTCTATGTGCTTTTGTGGTTGGCATACCATTGTTTTATTATACAGTTTAGGAAAGTCCAGGGTCTTATGTATTATGGCTAGCGATTGTGTTTGGCGCTGGGGATTCAATTGGAAATGGTTTATTATGGTTTGCTCAAATCCTTCGCTTTCGCTATAGTCGTGTCGTATGCACCATTCACGCCCGGAACAAGCGGGCGTTCTTGACGGCCTGGTCCAGCAGACCCGCACCGGCCTTGACACCGTCAACGATAAGAACGCGGTTGCCCGCCTCGGCGCCGTACTGCTCCCGCGCTGCGTCGCGGATGATCTCTTCCAGCCCAGCCATGCCGGCACAGCCCATCACCACGCAGCCCACGTCCGAGCCCGCCAGCAGCTGCTTCGCCGCCGTCTTGAGCTTTTCCCGAATCACCTCGGGCGACACGCCGCCGTGGAAATCGCCCGCATTGAGGCCCGTCGAGTAAATGCCGGCAAACTTGCCGCTGCGCGCACCTTCGTGCTGCTCCGCTCCCAGGTACGCGGCCGCGCCCGCCGTCAGGTGCTCCTCCCAGAACTTGCCCGTTGTCACAACGCCCCATGTCTTGAAGGCCCCCGTACCTTTGGTCGTGCCCAGGGCATACGGCGGTAGCAGCGACAACGCCGTGAGGATGCTGGCCTCAAAGATGCCCGTGACCACAACGCCACGGTCGGCCAGCAGGTTGCTCAGCTTGGCCACCAGCGGATGGACACTGAAGCAGGCGACGAGGATGGCGTCGTAGTTCTCGGCGGCATGCTCGAGATCAAAATTGGCCAGCACAACGGCCGTGCTCTTTTCGAGGTCGTCGCCATCGTTAATGCTGGCCGGACTGTCCTTGGGTGCCGTGTAGGTCGATAGTTGGATTGACTTGTGTTGTTAGCAGGAGGCTCTTGTGAAGGGCAGGAAAGCTTGTTAAACTGTAAGCTCTGTAGCTGTCGTGATTTCAATGTCATTTTCTGGAATACAACCTTGTCGCCAATGTTTTCACTCTTATGACGTTTTCTAACCGCATTTTGCTCAAGAAAATTGACACGTAAAATAAAAACATATAAAAAATCCCAGGTCGAAAACCTCAGCCCACAAAATACATAAAATAAGAGCCACCCGCCGCAAAACGGAAGAAGTACAAGACGACACACGTCACTCACCGTGGGAAGGTCGATGCTGCGAAGGGCCTCCTCTACGCCATGCGTCATGTCTGTCGACGAGTTCGGGTTGAGGACGAGAATCCGCACTCTGTCCTTTGGAGACGCCATGCTGTTTGAACAGGAAAGCTCGGTCAGCGGGTGACTATTGACGTGAGCGCGCTCCTCAGCTAAGAACAATGACTTTTCACGTATTCACAGCGCCGATATTTTATGTCATGATACATGATAGCGTTTCCTCGGTTTATCCCGATTCATAAGCGTGGGGCATCCTAAAAGGGTCTCTTACTAGCGCTCGTCAGCGACTTTCGGTACGTAGAGCAGATATGTCTAGCGACCCTGATTGGGGCGCATGCATTCAAACAACCCACAAAATGTCACGTGCAAGAATTTGCTTTGACGGAAGAGCTTCCCCACCGAGCTTGTCGGCGCTCTGAGCTTCTCCACACAACTGTTTAACTTCATTCGCAATCGCTGAACGCACCTTTCCACCGTCGGTTTCAACGCACTCTGGGCGGACCTGCGACCTTCTTTCCGCTCGTGACCGCCATCGTGGTCATCAAACAGTAGGTGGTTGTATTTTTGTGAAAGGTAAGCAGACACGAGCATCTGCCCTGGCAACGGTTGGCCAGTCACTCTCATTCACTACACCCATATCCCACCAGTCGACTCCTGGAAGTCAATATATGCATGCGGTGGCATGTCTCTGTTTTTTCTCCCACCACATCAGACACCACCAGACACAACAATCAACCACCAACCGCCCCCGATGGCTCGCCCGAACCCCAATAGAATGCTCGCTAACCTGCGTAGCGATCTCGGCATTGCCTAGGAATCGGAACTCGAGTCGCAGAGCGGGGAGGACGCACACGTCCCGCCATGTCCTCGTCACGAAACCGCACCGGCCGCTCGGGGCCCAACCGCGGCAGCCAGCAGGGCGAGGAGTACAACCTGTGGCAGAGCATCAAGGACGAAATCCGCAACCACGTTGAGTTGCAGAACGCGGACAACGACGGCCTGCGCAAGATCATCGACCAGGACACGCGCATGCACGAGAGCGGCGACGCCATGGACGCCGAGGCCGAAGAGAAGCAGCAGGAGGACCTGTTCCGCAAAGGGGTGCGCACGTCTGACGCCGTGCAGGACAACCTCAAGCGCGTGCTCGAGAACCTGGAGCTGCTGCGGACGATTCAGAAGCTGAAGGAGGACGAGGCCGATGCGAAACAGGGCGCCACGCCGTCGCGGTCGAGCCTCTTGAGCGGCGGCTCGTCGTCGCGCACAACGGGCCGGACCAGCACGCGCGAGCGGGAAAAGGAGCGGGAGCGAGAGCGCGAACGCGAGCGCGAACGCGAACGCGACCGAGACAAGGAGCGCGACCGCGAGAGGGAGCGCGAGAAGGAAAAGGAGCGGGAGCGGGAACGGGAAAAGGAGCGGGAAAAGGAGCGGGAGAAGGAGAAGGAGCGCGAAAAGGAAAAGGAAAAGGCACAAAAGGACAAGGACCGCGAGCGCGAGCGGGAAAAGGCAGAAAAGGAACGAGAAAAGGAGCGCGAGCTGGAGCGCGAGAAGGAGCGCGAAAAGGACCCGTACGAGTTTGAGGGCCCCGGCGACGAGATGGACATGGAGCCGAGCCAGGGCAGCGGCAATGGCAATGGCCACGGACGCAAGAGCGGTGCGGGCAACGGAAACGACCGCGGCGACCGCGGCGACCGTGGCGACCGCTCGTCCCACGCCCGCGACAGTGTTCCGCCGCGTGGCGGCGACCGCGACACGGCCTCGTCGGTGAAGGCGGACAGCGTCGAGCCACAAGGACCGGGCAGCGCCATGACGTCGGCGGCACAGCGGTCCCGCGTCATGTTTGTCAAGGGCCAAGACGTTGTGTTCAAGCCCAAGCCGGCCAACCTCAACGACTCGGCCGAGTGGTTCCTGGGCAAGGTGCAGCAGGTGCTCGGCGAGGGCAAGTCGCGGCGCTACAAGGTCAAGGACGAAGACCCGGACGTTGCGCCCGAGCAGCGCCAGGAGTACCGGACCAGCGCCAGCAACATGATACCGCTGCCGCCGCCGGGCCAGGACCTGACGGAGCTCGAGGCCGGCCGCACCGTGCTCGCCCTGTACCCGGACAGCACGACCTTCTACAAGGCAGAGGTGATGAGCACGGACAAGGCGACGGGGCGCGTGAACCTGCGCTTCGAGGGGGAGGAGAACTCGGGCACACTGCAGGAGGTCGAGCGGCGCTTTGTTGTCGAGTACCGGAACTAGGCGGCGCGTGATTGGGGGGCCGTATGTTTGGCCATTGGTTACAGTGGTCCGTTTTTGTGTGCGGATTTTGATTTTGTCGTTATCAATGTGTTTTCTAGGAATGGCACGGCGCAATGGCTTTGGGTGGGCACTTTATCTGTTTATTGGGATACGAGAGGTTTGGATATTGAATACCCAGGAAAGGGATCCGGGACGGTACAGTTTTGTTTGTCACGCGAGAGTTTACACTCAAATGGAAGACCTGGATCGAGTTTTGCTGTGGACTGTATTTCGTACTCAGTAGGCGTTCACATAACCGTATCAAGTGGCTGAATGTCGTAGTCTTACTACGTCTGCTAGCAGTGCATTTAGTACCGGGGTGTTCCGTAACTTTAATTGTGCTGTAAGACTCTCTCGTTGCATGTGCAAGTCGTCGACTTCCCACTGTAATTTAAAAGTCTGCTGCAACATGTCGCCTAAAATTGCGCCCACAGCATTGTAGCCTCTGAGGCTCTTCACTCACCTTACAGCCAACCCCACTTGACCCCTGGGACACTTTGGCGCTTGGACGCTTTGGGGTGCGTGTGCCGTGCACAACGGTCAGGGGCAGGCACGAAGGGGAGGCGCACCTGCCACCTCTGAGCCAGGCGGCCCACCTCCAGTCGACTGCCAATTTAACGAATTCCCCAGAAAACGCAAGAAAACAGGTGAACCGCAAAAAGGAGGGAGCTTTCACCAAAGCGGAACAGAACGTGGAAAAGCAAACACGAGACTACAGCACAGGAAAAAAGCACGACGAGGCTGTGACGAGACTGAGCGATCTCACTTGCAACCGCCACGACCCGACTCCGATCCCCAATCGCCGATCCCATTGCTCGCCCCCTTTTCTGTCTTTTGTTGTCGCGCGACAGGACGACCGCGACGTCTTTGTGTGGACTCGACAGATATCCAGAGTAGACGTTCCTTTCTTGCCGCTCGAGGTACGACTCTCTTTGCGCTTCCGCCGCCGGTTACTTTGCAGCATACGCTCGAACGCGCGCAAACGTGGACGCGACGACCTCGCGCTCGACCGCCTTGGACTTTCTCGACAACTCTCTCTGCACCCCCCTCCCTCCGCCTTGATACCCCCCTCCCCCCCTGCCACCGTCGCACGACCACACGACATCCGTCACCATGGGCGGCCAGTTTTCCAAGATGATGGGCAAGATCTTCGGATCCAAGGAGATGCGCCTGCTGATGCTGGGCCTCGACGCGGCCGGCAAGACGACGATCCTGTACAAGCTGAAGCTGGGCCAGGACGTCACGACCATTCCCACCGTCGGCTTCAACGTCGAGACTGTGACGTATAAGAACGTCAAGTTCAACGTCTGGGACGTCGGTGGCCAGGACAAGATTCGGCCTCTCTGGAGACATTACTTTAGCGGTACGTCCGCCCGGCCGCCGCGCCCCTCCGTCCTCGTTTTGCCATCAGCGTACTAACTTGCCCAGGAACCCAAGGTCTCATCTTCGTCGTCGACTCGTCCGACCGGGCACGCATGGACGAGGCCAAGCAGGAGCTGCACCGCATCATCAACGACCGCGAGATGAAGGACAGCCTGCTGCTCGTATTTGCCAACAAGCAGGACCTCGACAACAGCATGAAGCCCCAGGAGGTCACCGAGGTGCTGCAGCTGTCCAAGCTCAAGGACAAGATCTGGTACGTCGTGCCAAGTTGCGCCACCACGGGCGAGGGCCTGCTCGAGGGCCTGGCCTGGCTGTCCAACAACGTCAAGGCGCCGCCGGCGCCGGCCAAGAAGTGACGGCGCAATCCGCGGTGAAGCCGGGGAGTTGAAGGGTGGATGGTGCTCTATTGTGGTCGTATGGTCTATGTATGGCTTTCTAATATGCTCCTGTTGTTGTTGCCCTTCACTCTGACCTGTCCTGTCTGCTTGCCTGTCCCGTCTTGGCCTCAAAGCCTCATGCGGTCTACCCTCTACTGCTCCGATCTTCTGCCCCCTATTTTCCCACAATGTCAGTTTGATTTTGCTATTTCGCGTCTGCCTCGCTCGATTTGTTCTGTCTCCTTTTTTTTCTGGCTCTTACGTTCTTCTCTTGTTCCTTTTTTGTACTGGGTGTTGCGTCGGGAGATGGATAAAAAGGGTATACCCAAGGTGCGAGGCTGCCTCCAGGCTGCCTCTAGGCTTGTCTTGTCCCGCACCGCATTCTTTGTGTTGTTCGATTTCTTCAGTCTACTCCGTGTACCGCGTAGTACTCCGTACCCTTTTATAGATACCTCGTAATTCGACCTTGTTGCATCTTTTAAAAATGATTGAATTTCAGCATCCTATTCGTCAAATGAAGTAGTAAGGGGACAAGCAAAAAGAAAATAAAATCAACGCAAAACCAAAGAAACCAAACGCAAAGGGGTATAAGAAAGGGGCACAGTAGAAGAAAGCATAACAGACATGCAACATGCGGCATGCGGCATAGAAAACAAACAACACCAGGACACCGGGGACCTCCAGGATTATTCCTTTACCCGTTTGCTTGCCCGCACAAGAGAGTCGTCTGGCAGCCCGCTCCGCTTCGTCCCGGGGAGGCTGCTCGTGCGAATGTCGTTGTCGTCCTGGCTGACGCGCCGGTGCGGATACTCGGTCTTGAGGCCTTCGAAGCAGTTGCTGTGCAGCGCGTCGCCGCTCGTGAAAAAGGGGTGCTCGAGCGCCGCCTCGGCCGTCAGGCGCTTTTCGGGGTCGTACTCGAGCAGGCCGGCGAGCAGCGAGAAGCCGTTGGCGCCGAGGCTGGCCAGCGACGACGGGTTGGCATGGGCTGCGGCGGACGGCGGCAGCGGCGCCGATGTCTGGCCCTGGCTGATGGTGCTGTAGTACCACTTTTCGAGGTTGCCAGACGACGAGGACGACGAGGACGACGAGGACGACGCGTGGTGACTGTGCTGGCTGTGGTGATGGTGGCTGTTGAGCGTGCTCAGCTGCTGGTACTCGGGCATGTTGGCCAGCAGCGGCCACCGCTCCTTGGTGGGCAGGCCCATGATGTCGACAATCTTTTGCATCTGGTTGCGCTGGAAGGGCACCGTCTTCTTGGAGTCCATCTTGGCCTCCTCGCCCTTGAAAATGGGCCGCAGCGACAGCAGCTCGGCAAAGATGCAGCCAATGGCCCACATGTCAATGGCCGGCGTGTAGTGGCGGGAGCCCAGGAGCAGCTCGGGCGCGCGGTACCAGATCGTCACGACGACCTTATCGCCGGAAAAGAGCGAGTGCAGGGGCTTGTAGAACAGGCGCGCCAGCCCCAAGTCGCCAATCTTGACCTGCCCGGCCGACGTCACCATGATGTTGGCCGGCTTCAGGTCGCGGTGCAGCACCCAGTTGGTGTGCAGGTACTGGCTCCCGTTGAGCAGCTGGAACATGATGCTGCGGATGGTCGACGCCGGGATCGGGTGGCGCGGCTGCTGCGTGTGGTGGTGGATGATTTGGAGCAGGTCGTGCTCGGCGTACTCAAAGACCATGAAGATGCACTTGTCCTCGAGGATGATCTCGACGAGCCGGATCACGTTGTAGTGCGACAGCTCGCTGCACAGCGCCATCTCGCGGATCGCCGACTGGCTGATGCCCGTGTACGTGACCTGCTCGCCCTCCTTGTCGGGCTTGAACTTCTTGATGGCAAACTCGCCCGGCATCCCTTGGCGGCTCACGGCTTTGTACACGCGGCCGTACGTGCCGCTACTAATGAAGCCGATCACGCGGTACTTGTCCGTCACCCGCACCTTGCTCTGGTAGCCGACGTAGCCCACATTGCGGTCGACGGTGTCTGAGGGGGGCCACGGACGCCGGGTTAGCTACACCACCACGTCGGGTGTCACCGGGACAGGGACTCACCTTCAAAGGCCTGCTGGACGCTCCGCTTAAGAGCATGTGTGCGCATCGCTGAGCCTGACGCCGGCCCTGACGTGCCCGTCGGCGGGTTTGTGTGGCTCATCTTGGGACAGGGAGAGATAGGCTGAGATGCCGATAAGCGACGCCAATCGACGGTTGATGGAAGGACGATGGCACGAGGGAGATGCGATGCCGAGGTCGCCCTGGGCGGCTCTATGAGCAGCCGTCAATGGACCGCATGGGCGCTGAGAGGCGAGGGCAGAAAGAAGGCTGACGCAGTGCGATGTCAATCGGGGATGTGCAGAGGGCTTTGTCGTAACAAAGGAAGTCGTCGCTATGTCGTCGGAGCGAGCGTCGTGGCGGAGGTCGGCGATGCTAGAACGAGGTGGAGAAACGACTGGCGATGACAGATGCCAGTGCCGTTTATCGATTTTTAGCGGGGTGGGGTTTGGAGGCATGCGCTATGGCTGACAAAATGGCGCGGGTTTGACATCGCTGTCAGCGGTTCGCTTACAATTTACAGGGGAGTCTGGGACGAGTCTTTGGCGAGGTTACAGAACATCTTCAGCGCACACTGGCGACAATCACACTGCGAGCATTGCGGCATCACGATATGCAGAGAACTTGATTGTGCGGCGACAGGTCGCCTTTTCGTCTTGATAGCACCATAAAGAACCAGTTTCACACGCGCAATGCAGCCACCCGCCTATAAACACCACATCCTTCCACAGTGTCTCTATCGCGGCCCCAGCTTCTCGAGCACGCGGGCACCCTGCTCCTGCCACTCCGCCTTGGTCACCCACATGGACTCCTTGTCGGCCATAATGTTGGCGAGCACGGCGCCGCCCAGGAACACCATGTGTCGCCGGCGCGGCGGGTCTTCTATCCGCACCTTGAACTTGCTCAGGCGCTCGGGGTTGCCGCCCAGGACGCGCGTCAGCCACAGCTGCTTGAGCTCCTTCTCGAGGCGCGAGGGCAGGCCGGGGTACATGCTGCTGCCGCCCGACAGCACAATGGCCTTGAAGAGCGACGAGCGCACGTCGACGTCGGCCTGCTGGATGGTGTTGAACAGAAACTCGGCCATGCCAGGCTGCTCGCAGTCGACGAGGTGCGGCTGGAACAGGCACTCGGGCGCCTCGAAGCGCTCGCTGCCGACACGGATGACGCGGCCGTCGGGCAGCGTGTAGCTCTCGACGAGCACGGTGGTGTCCTCGCTGAGGCGCTTGTCGAGCTCGAGGTCGTAGCTGACGTAGCACAGCTTCTCCTTGATCTGGCGCACCGTCTCAAAGTCGGCCGTGCGGTTCAGGGCGTAGCCGCGGCGCAGCAGCAGCGCAATCAGGTTCTGGGTGACGTCGCGGCCGGCCACGTCGAGGCGGCGCGTCAGGTGGTTGAGCACGACCGACTCGTAGACGGGCACAATGTGCGTGACGCCGTCGCCCGAGTCGACGACCACGCCCGACGACAGGCCCTGGGCGTAGAGGGCCAGCACGGCCTGGATGGCCACGTAGACGCCGCCAAAGTTGTAGCGGTCAAACATGACCTCGCACATCTGCTCGCGGTTCTTGAGCGGGTTCATGGGCGGCTCGGTCAGTAGGATCTTGCGGTCCGTCGTGTCGATCTGCATCTTCTCGTAAAACGTGTAGTCCCAGAGGTGCTGCATGTCGTCCCACTTCTTGACGATGCCGTTCTCCATGGGGTAGCTGATCTGCAGCATCGTGCGTGCGGCGGCGGCCTCGTCGCCGCACATAATGTCCTTGATGACCAGGTCATTGTCGCCCTTTTCTTCTGTGCGCAGGATGGGCCGGCCGACGATGGAGGGGTATTGGAATTCAGGGAAGTTCTGCGCGGCATAGCCGACCTTGAGGAAGCCCGTGCCTCCATCAAGGACTGGGCAGGTTAGCAGGGGCCAGAGTGAGAGTCGAGGACGGGCCACGGGAGGGACAATGGTGGGTGCGAGGCGGGTGACGACAGCGCCGATGGCGATGTTCCCAGAGGAGGGGAGCTCGGATGCTCAGGCGGAGGGACCGACCAACCCCACAACAACAGCCACGGCGGTCCAAAGATCCAGTTTATACGTACCAATCGGGGGAGGTGATGCCATGGTGGTAGAATGTGCAGCACACGCGGTCGGAGAGTGGTGTGTGTCGAGAGTCGCAGGATGTCGCTTTGCCTTGCGCTGGCGATGTGCGGCAGGGAGGACGATGGAGGCCACTGCAGCGTCTCGGAATGGCTGGGCGTGTTGGTCCTGGGATGCTGACGTTGAATTAGCGGGGTCGGGGGCGCAGCTCCAGATAAAGCGAGTGGAATGCGCCTGCCTGCCGCACGTAATGGTGTGAGTGGCACGTGACACGTCTTGTGCTGCGCCATTCTAAACTGTCTATGTTGTAGTTAACTGTCTAGTTAACTTCCAGTAAACAACAGGGGAATCAGGGGCAATGAGTGTGTACGAATGGTGAGAAACAAACTGTGAACATGCAATAATTAACAAATGTAGAATTTCTGAGAAATTAACAAAGAAACAAAAAAATATGGCTGAATTAGCCTGCGTAGAAATTACATTTGTCAATGTTGAACCCGTTTGTCCTACAAAGCTCATACCGCAGCAAACATCGTGCAAGAGTATGCTCCACGACTTCCACCAAACAACTCAAGCTCCCACACACCTCACGCCACACTACACGCCGTATCGTCCGCCACCCTGCCAGCACTGCGTCATGGCGTCGCGGTCCGTGTACGTGTAGGTCTGCGTCTGCCCGACCCAGATCGTGGCCCATGTGTTGTAAGTCTCGTAGTGCACATGGTACTGCGTCTGCGCAGGGCCCTGGTAAAAGTATGTGACCGTGGGCACGCCGTCGTCGTCGCAGACCGTTTCTGCCGGCGGCTCAAAGGTGCTCGTGACGGTGTAGAAGTTGTCCTCGGTGCTCGTGGGCGTCTCGGCCGTGGACGTGACGGTGACGGTGGCCGTGTACGTCGTCTCGACGACAGTGCTCGTCACATCCTGGATCTTGAGAAGGGTGCGCCGAGCCAGAGCGGGCGCCGGTGTGGTTTGGGGCACGCCGTCGACGCCCTCGGTGGCATCCGGCCTGTGACCGCCGCCGCCACCCCGTCCACCGCCATTGTTACCACCGCCGTTGTTTCCGCCTCCGCCGCCTCCTCTGTTACCGCCGTTGTTGCCGCCGCCGCCGCCGCCGCCACCTCCTCTGTTGCCGCCGTTATTGCCGCCTTCACCGCGTCCATTATGCCCTCCACCTCCTCCGCCCCTGTTCCCTCCATTGTTTCCACCGTTGTTTCCACCGTTGTTCCCTCCGTTGTTCCCTCCGTTATTCCCGCCACCACCTCCGCCCCTGTTCCCTCCATTGTTTCCACCGTTGTTCCCTCCGTTGTTCCCTCCGTTGTTCCCTCCGTTATTGCCTCCGTTGCCGCCTCCCCTGTTACCGCCATTATTCCCTCCGTTGTTGCCTCCGCTATTCCCGCCACCGCCTCCGCCCCTGTTCCCTCCATTGTTTCCGCCGTTGTTCCCCCCGTTGTTGCCTCCGTTGTTCCCGCCACCTCCTCCACCCCTGTTTCCCCCATTGTTTCCACCGTTGTTCCCGCCTTCGTTACCGCCATTATGGCCGCCGCCATTCTCACCGCCCCTATTACCCCCGTTGTTCCCTCCGTTGTTTCCACCTCCATTGTTGCCTCCATTGTTGCCTCCTCCGTTATTGCCGCCGCCCCTGCCTCCTCCATTGTTGCCTCCATTGCCTGGCTGCGAGGTTGATCGAGGGGGCTCTGGCTGGCGGGTGGTCGGGTTCGTGTGGGGCGGGTCGGGCCTGTGGGTAGACGACGGCGGAGGATCGTTGTGGCGTGTCGAGGACGGTGGAGGGTCGTTGTGCCGCGTTGACGATGGTGGCGGGTCATTGTGCCGGGATGACGATGGAGGGGGGTCATTGTGTCTAGTCGAAGACGGAGGAGGATCGTTGTGGCGTGTCGACGACGGCGGCGGGTCATTATGGCGAGTTGATGAAGGAGGAGGATCATTGTGCCGGGTTGATGACGGAGGCGGGTCGTTGTGGCGTGTTGACGACGGAGGTGGGTCATTATGCCGAGTAGATGATGGCGGTGGATCGTTGTGTCGCGTTGACGATGGAGGTGGGTCATTATGGCGTGTCGATGACGGCGGAGGATCGTTGTGACGCGTGGATGATGGAGGGGGGTCGTTGTGCCAAGTTGACGACGGAGGCGGCGGGTTGCGGTGGCGTGACGTCGTCGACTTGGGCGGGATCGTGTGGGGCCGCGTCGGCGTTCTGCTCGGCCGCGTGTAGACCCAGCTGCTGCTTGTGTACCAGGGCCGGCAACCGTCGCAGTTGGTGGGCCGCGACGTGGGCGGCGGCGGACGATCCACGGTGGGCGAGCGCCAGGTTGCGGGCCAGTGGCAATATGCGTCGACCTCGACGGTGGTCTGGTAGTAATTTGTGACGATACCGGCAGTGAACCATCGCTGGATGACGGTGTCAATGACGGACGTGGGACCAGGAATGTAGCTGATAATGGTCTGCGTGGGCGCGTCACAGTCGGAGGTGACGGTGTCGGGGTAGCCGATGACGGTCTGTGTCTCAACGACCTCGTTGATTTGGGCTAGGCGTGTTAGAACGGTGAGTTGGAGGAAACACAAAAGCAGAAGGTAGCCAGGGGGACCGTACTGATCGCTGTAGGCGTCACAGTAACGCCAACCGTCTCTGTGGGCGTGACAGTCACCACGACAAGGCCTTGGTTGCCAACCGTGATCTGGAACTGCCGCTGCGAGGCAAACTCAATGTCGGTCGACTGCAGGATGATGGTGTACTGGCCTGTCACCATCTGGTCGTACGTGAGGTTGCTGAACGTGTTAGCAACGGCGAAGCACATGGAATGTAGACGACGGACGCACCACTGAGACGCCTGCTGGCTGTCGTCGGGCTGCGACTCAATGTCATCGCAGGCATACTGGATGCCATTGGGATCGATGAGGACGGGCGTGACAAAGCCGTCCTGGCAGCCCTCAAACGAGGAATGGAAGGTGAAGTTCAGCTGCGAGCTGCCGTCAATCAGATACGAGCCCCCGTCGGTGTAGTCGAGGCCCATGCAGCCGCATTGCTGGGAGTAGACCGAGGCCGTAAACAGCAGTGCCGCAAGCGGCAGCGCAAATGCAAAGCGTGCCATGTCCGTGTCGCTGGCGTCAAGGCCCGATATCCAGTCACGAGACGAGAGGACGGAAGCAAACGACGAGGGAAGACAGCAAACTGGCTGGGAGACCAGGAGTCTTTATCACCCGCCAGAGAGAACAGTCCATACTGGATGATCGCAGCCTCCACCAGTCATGGCCCATGGCCTGCCAAGGCCGTATATGAGGCAATGTCAATATGCCACGCGTAACAGAAAACAGAAAAAAAGTGACCAAATTTCCTATACCATGGGATGCCTGTTGCGCTCGTCCACGACCGTCCCAGTGGACCGCGTGACTCGCAGGCCGCATGATGGGGAACGCCCATATTGGGCGATGGGGAGATGGGGAGATGAGATGGTATTCCCGCAACCGATGTGGGCAAACGACGCAAAACTGGTGACGATGGTGACGAATGAGGCGACGGGGTAATTGGAAAACAGAAAATAGACATTATACGCAATATAGAGAGCAATATCCGGAGAACCGTACACGGAGTCAAGCCGCAGTTTTCGTGCAGCCCGGGAGAGTGCTGATTGGGCCCAGATTAGGCTAAGAACCGGGTTCTGGGGCAGACGGGCAAACAGTAAGGTTAATCGTGGCGGACGGAGAACAGGAGAGAAGAAAGGGGGAGAGAACAAACATGACGAGAAGTTTTAGTTGGGGCACGAAGGGTGGAGAGAGGAGACCGTGGACGGGAGAAGGGGGGGGGTAAGGGGAAGAAAGAGCGAAACGAAGACCAGTATGTCCACATTAGGAAGGCGTCGAATTTGTGGTGGTTGTGCATTTTTGACGACATGGGTTCAACATGACCCGGGAGCAAAAGCACCGGGACACCATAGAGACGAATAAACAACCCGTGGTCCTGCGAGTGTTCTATTTTGGACGACGGGAGGAGCATGGTGGGCAATATGAGCGATCTCATGATGTCGTTTCGCGATTGTATTGTTCTGCCAATAAAAAGGCCAAGCCCGGCTGGTGGGTGAGTTCACAGAGAGCTTTTCGTTAGTAGGTTCAGAAGAGTCACAGTATGGGTGTTTTAATATTTTCAAATACAGCATCGTGCAATGGTCCGCGTCATGGGTCACGCCCGTTGCTGTGATAGTTTGAAGCTGGCGATGCTGCCGTGTTTTGATTTTTGGACCTTTTTTAGTTTCTTCAAGGCGGCAGCTAGACACCCTTTGGCATATCCACAAGTGACATGCTATCTTTCATTTTGGCTAATTAACATTTCGATTTCGACAGGAGAAACTTTTCAAAGCACAATGTGCTGAATCGACGACCTATCGAATAAAAGAGTAATAATATTCAAAAGGGATGAAGAACGGAAGAAGAGATCCGTAGAGGAATTGAAAAATAGAAGAAGAAATCACGAGACATGAAAGAGTAGCAAACAAAATAAAAGTTCGGACGAAGAGAGCAAAGGACAAGGCCAAGCATCCCAGTTAGACATACACGTCCCCTACTTAAATATCCTTTCTCGGCAAAGCCATAGAAAACTTAACCTTTGATGCCACGGCTGCAGAAGTTATTGCCCCCGTGACAATAATTCTCGTAACCATAGGAAAAGTTGTTCTCCTTGCTGAATGGCCCATCATCGTTGGAAATGTGCCGACCCCAACCCGGCATGTACAGCCCGCACTTTTGTGTAATGGCTGCAGACCAGTCTCGCCGTGTTTGGGCATCGCAATTTGCGTCGTAATAGCTACTGAAGTTGCAAAAATAGGCCACTGCACAGTTGCGGATGGAGTAAAAGTCCATCCCCATTCGTACTTTGGCACCATTGCCGCATTGGTTGTCGAGCATGCTATTGGCAGCGTCGCAATCGCCCGGGTCGAGTCGCTCTTGGCCGGAAGCGCAACTGACGCCTTCGTTTATGGCCCACCGAGAAGCGAGCCTATCCCGACGCACGAGAGAGTGGCCAAGACCGTGGGGCTTGCTGTGCATGAGCAGGGCCTCTGTGGCGTTCATGATCATTGTGTGCTCCTCGGTTCCATCAGGACGAGTCCAAACACTGTAAACGCCGTCTGCCTGCCCTGGAGGGATGGCGAAGGCGGCCACATGGGTAGCCACACCGAGAAGCAGGGCGCAGAGACCCGAGCGCCACATGTTTTCAACAGTGGAGAAATTGACTGCAAGTGAAGGATTATGGAGAAAATAAAATGGAATATTGATGTCGAGAAAAAAGATGAACTTGAGGAACGAGGCTTCATGATATTTATCTCAAGTCCAGAGACCACGAGGCAACAAACTCGAGTTGATCCAATTTCCAAATAGTCTACTCGGCCATAAAGGCAAATGAAGCTGGCCAAATTTCCCTGGTTACAACAGTATTGCCCTCCTCAGATCAATGAAACCAACAGACTTGAAGTATTTCATATTGAGACGTCGGAGTTCGGCTGTCATGTCCCTATTGAATTGTATGACAAGCAATGTTTGGATATTTTCTGTGCAACGCAAACCTCAAATTACACACCGCCAACACCAATTGTGCCTCCCAACAGCCGTGCTTCTCCTATTTTCAATCAAACAGCAATTCTTTTGGCGGGTAAAATCAGCTGATGACGGTCGACTGATGACAATCTCTGAACGGTTCCAACAGCACTGTCATCCACAGGATTGCGATTCACGTCATTTTCATTCACAATTTGATTCCGGGCCACGGTGCAATACAGCCGACCATCAAATGTGCTAAGCGACAACCATGTTGGACATTAGGTTAAATGGATTTACTTTGCTGTCTTTTGATTTCAAACAGATTTTGCACGGTTGGTCATTTTGAGCCAGCTCGGTTGGAACTGGTCTTGCTTGATGAGATTTTGCGCAACAAACTCCATTGAGACGAAAGCCTTGTAAACGACTGTACCAAAATTTTACGCTAAAGAAAATCAGCATAGATACATTTGAAGTCTCAGACAGTTCCCAAAAGGACAATATCCCGGAATCATTAACAGTTGTAAGTATGGACGATGCGTTCACGTGATTGGTCACATGCGCTCGCCTTGCGAGCCACCATACAACACGACCTTTCGCTTGGCGTAGCCGACGTCGACCTGTCGTCATCGTTCATGTTCCTTCTTCAACGATCGGCCACAGCCACCACGAAACGCCATGTCTGTCCTCCTCGAGACCAGCAAGGGTGACATTGTGATTGACCTTTTGGTAGACTATGCACCAAAGCTGTGCGAAAAGTGAGTTCCATTCTACGAGGTTTCTTTTTCGTTTCGTTTTGTCGTTTCCTTTTATTCCACTAACAACCGCGTTGCAGCTTCCTTAAACTCTGCAAGATCAAATACTACAACTACGCGCCCGTCCACTCTATCCAAAAATCGTTCTCCTTCCAGACCGGCGACCCGCTTGGTCCTCTCTCGAAGCTGTCCGATGGCGGCTCCAGCATCTGGGGCGTGCTCTCGGGCGACCCGGCGCGCCGCACCTTCCCAGCGCTGTTCCACCCGAAGCTGAAGCATATCGAGCGTGGCACCGTCGGCATGGCCACCGTGGCGCACCCCACCGATCCGGACGTGCGGCTGGCGGCGTCGCAGTTTATCGTGAGCCTCGGCGACGACACGGACTTTCTGGACGGCAAGTCGGCCATCTTTGGGCGCGTCGTCGAGGGCTTTGACGTGCTCGAGAGCATCAACAAGGCCATTGTCGACGACAACGGCTACCCGCTCGTCGACATCCGCATCAAGCACACGGCCATCCTCGACGACCCCTACCCAGACCCGGCCGGCCTCGTGGAGCCGCCCTCGTCGCCGCCGCCGTCGCGCGCGCAGCTGGACACGGCGCGCCTGGGCGAGGAGGACCAGCAGACCATGGACGACGACCCGGGCGCCGACTCGGAAGACAAAGCGGCGGCGGCCGAAAAGACACGCCGCGAGCGCGAGGCGCGCGCCCAGGCGCTGACGCTCGAGATGATGGGCGACCTGCCGTTTGCCGAGGTCAAGCCGCCCGAGAACGTGCTGTTCGTCTGCAAGCTCAACCCGGTCACGCAGGACGCCGACCTCGAGCTCATCTTTAGTCGGTTCGGCACGATCCTCTCGTGCGAGGTCATCCGCGACCGCAAGACGGGCGACAGCCTGCAGTACGCGTTTATCGAGTTCGAGGACAAGGCCGCCTGCGAGGCGGCGTACTTTAAGATGCAGGACGTGCTGATTGACGACCGCCGCATCCACATTGACTTTAGCCAGAGCGTCAGCAAGCTCAGCGACGCGTGGCGCAGCGACACCAACGCCAAGCGCCAGAAGCAGGCGCGCGGGCGCGGCGGCGGCGGCGGCTGGGGCGGTGTGCGCGAGCTGGAAAAGTGGCGCAAGTACCGCAACGAAGACGACGACGATGCTGGCGGGCCGTCGTCGTACGGCATGGTGCACAGCGACGAGGAGATCCGAGGCCGCCATGCGCAGGCGTTTGCAAAGGAGGCGGCCGCGAACAAATCGGAGGACAGGTACAATGGCTACGGCGACCAAATACGAGACTACGGTGGAGATCGCCGCGGCGGCAGACGCGACGACAGGGATAGAGATCGCAACTACGACAAGGACAGAGAACGTGGCCGTGGCCTAGGGCGGGACAATGAGAGACACGAGAGACGAGACGGCAGTCGGAGCAGACGCGATGACCGTTACAGACAGGACCGTTACAGACACGACAAGCCCCGGTCCGATGCCCGCAGTCGGAGTCCAAGGCGGGGGCAAGGGCGAGACCGCGAATGGGGCCGGGATGAAGGCCGAGACAGGGATAGAGACAGGGACAGAGACAGGGACAGAGACAGGGACAGAGACCGAGACAGAGACCGGGATAGAGACCGCCGTCGTCGGTAGGCTATCTGTATTTGGATCTACTAATTCCATTTATTGCTTTACTTACGCATGTACGACAATCGGAGCCTTCTCTAGGATACAGTTCACTTTCACCCTTCAATATGATACCACACATCGCCCTGCCACTTGATGTCTTGCTTGCGTCGACAAGGTTCAAGCCCTCGTCTATCCTTTCCTGCTGGCGAGGGGAGGCTGGAGAGAGAAAGAAAGAAAGCGTGAAAGAGAGAGACAGCAGAGACAGAGCAGCCGTCGAGAGACCAATGGCTGCAAGGAACATGGCATGGAGAGAGGATACGAGGGCATTTGCTGTGATGGAGGGGTTGGTTGCGAGGACCTTTGACGGTTGATGCAGGCGAGACGGTCGGTCCTGTGGTCGTTTGCAATGTCGGCCTTGTGGCACGACCACTGCAGAAGAGACGGACAAAAGAAGACGACGAAAAAAGTGACAGGCGTCGTCCATTGGCCGGCGGGTAAACCTGGTAGAGACGCCCTTGTGCAACCCTGCATCGGGTGAATCGTTACCAGGGGTTGTGCCCTCTGGCGAAGCGAAGGCGCAAATGACAGGCTGAGAGGAGCAGAGGGACAGCAGTGAAGCGTGTGAAGGATAAGACATGGTGATAAAGGAGGCGACGGGGGAGGAAGAAGGAGAGAGGTGACACACGCCGGGGCGAGACTCTGGAGTTCCGTGGAAGAGTCCGTCCTGTGGTCTGTGGTCTGTCTGCTGTCTGCTGTCTACCTACTGTCTATCTACTGGCTATCTATCTATTTGTTTATTTCTCCTTGCGTGTCTCTTGCTCAATCTATCACATTTCTAGCCCGCGTACATGGCTGTCAGTTTGACCAAGCCCTGCTGGCCATATTTGTAGTCCACACGCTAGCTCTGGATATCACTACAGACGGTGACGCCATAGAAGCGTGGAGAAGAAACAGTCAGAGAAAATAGGACAAGGGAAAGACCGAAAGGAAACAAACTAAAATAAAAACGACGTGTCGCCTGCATCTACATTTCTCCCTCGCCACAGCAGAAAGCAGAACACCAACGGTCCACACCATCCGAGCACACAAAAAACACTTGAAGACACAAACAAGTGGCCGGCTGCTCTGCCTTGTCCTCTGTGGCTGCATCTTGGTCGTCCTGCCGTTTTGTCGTACTTTCGCGGTATCGTCGTATCGCACGACCTCCCACATCTGTCGCCGGCGGTCGCACAAGTTTAATATCAGCCATGGTCGACCAGCGAGCGCCAGTGCAAGAGTACAGAAATTGTGCATAGACTGCAGCCTTTCTCTCCCGAGCGGAGAGAGCAGGCAAACTAGGCTAACTAGGCAAACCAACACAGCCGGTTGCGTGCATTTGGTACGGACTGGCTTTGATTTTGTGCCTATTGTATTTAATTTGGATTGCTTTGGTATTTAGATTTTGCTTTCTCTCTTGTCGGCCCACTGGTTCGTCAAATCACAACCGGCTTTTGACAGGCTGTTCGTGTTTGGTCTTCTTAGCGAGCCAAGGAAGGAGAGGCAAAGAAGCACAGATTCGTTTTATAAAAAAATGAGATAATTAATACCAAAAAGGCCAGAAGGCGAGAAAGGCGAAATAAGTGAATAGCAGCGGTGCTGTCGTTTGATTCAAAGTGGAGACGGCAACGTTCTGGAGAATTCTGGAGCGCTTCGTTGGGGGTAGAGGCCCCTGGTCTGCTGTTGGTGGACGACTTCATCGGTCGATACTTGATTCTGTTCAATTTTCCTCTTCTTTTTGACTTTCAACAGGAAAGAAAGAAAGAAAAATAGGAAAAGAAAAGAAAAGAAATCACATCAAAGGAAAGAAACGAGAAAGAAACGAACGTCCCATTACAGAGCCTTTTACAGAGTTAGCTAGCTTATTGGGCGGATTTTTATTTTCTGTTGTGTAGAAACGTTCTAACGATGTGGCCGTCAACGTTAAAAAAACAAAAAGGACGACCAACAAAAGAGAATAAATTATGACAGTCGTGTGTCAACCAGCGACATTGGACTTGATTGGTATGAAACGGATTACGTGGGGGGCTTGCGGGACGGGTGCACAAACGAAATACAAACGCATGGGCTGTTTTCTCGTGCCTGTTTGTTGACAACGCAAACGAACACAACCAGAAGTGACAGTGGAATGAAAAGTGCCCCAAGCCCCAACTGTCAACTTTGTAAGTCAGCACGTCCACTGCAATAAAATACTGTTGGCGCTGTACAACGTACGAGCACGACGGACAGAGAAGGGGTGGTGGGACAAACAAATACATAAAATAAAATAAACGGAGAAAACAAACAGAAAAAGAAATGGATCATGGGAGCGGACACGAGAATTTGTACTACATACGGGAAGAGTTGCCTCCGCATTTTCAATCTATAAACTGAATGTGTGCATTCTGCAGTTGGTTTTGGCTCCGCCTGAGAAAGAGTCTCTCCCTGTTTCGGCTAGTTTTTTATGTCTCTCTTTTGTTCCTCTCATTTATGTTTGCGTTTATTTATTTATTTTACCTTCTTCATGTTTCACCGTTCTGTTATATGCTGTGTTACGGGGCTGAAGTAAGAAGAAATCACGAGCTAGCCCGAGATGGTGACTTGCATTGGGGAGGCCTTGTTGACTGTTTTTCGAATAGTCACAGTTGTATACCATAGCCTTTCTTGCATAAAAGAAACCGGGTAACCAGAAAACCAGCCGCGCGACGGGAACACAAGACGACAGGACACCATCTACACGAAACACGCTTACCCAAATGAAGAATCGACAGTCGTCGTCTTGAGAATTCGACGAATAAGATGTCAGATGCCAATGGGAAGAAAGTGACAAACAGACAACAAAACAGAGAGCAAGCGACAGAGTCGGTACGACAACGGGAACTGTCAAAATGATCGATCATCAGGGAGAAATGGGTCGTTACAAGACGGTTGGAGGGAGTACAATAACATCGATTGAAGAGGGTGCGTTCAATAAAAGCAGATAAACTACACAATAAAACGACAGTCTCTAAAACGAACCAAACACGCTCCATCTATTTATACGACAGGGAGACTGGGCTCCGTCCCTCTGCACGTTCCCCATCGCCGACGGTGCCCGTCGACATGTCTCCGCAGACCTGGTCCTGGATGCAGGATTGTGGGATGCAGCAACGTCCGGCTGCAGGAACAGGCACCTCTCATGCTCCAACCTGCACGTCCTTAGCCAGACTGTCTACAATATGGGCGACCTGGACCAGCCTGGGCGTCCCTGAGAAGACGTGCCGCCCTCCCGTTTTCGTTTACTCGTCTGGGCTGGCATGAGTGAGATGTAATGTAAACGTGTAACTTGCAAACAGCAGACTGCAAACAGCAGACTGCAAACAACGACTGCAAACAACGGTTGCAAACAGCTGCAAACCGCAGATTGCAAACCGTAAACAGCAACGGGCGTACAAAACATCTGCAAAAGCACACGAAAGCGCACCGCTGCTCAGGACTGCCGCCAAGAATATGACAGGTCGAAAAAAATACACAAAAGTCGTCTCGTTCTTTTGTCGTTCTCTTGTCTTTCTGTTTTTCTCTGGCTCTCGGTTGACCCTTCGCTCTCGTTTTACTCTTTCTCGCAGCCCGTTTGTCTTTCGTTGCTGCACTCGGGCATTGTGGTGGACCGCTCCACTTTCACTCGCCTCGCTCTCTTTCGCCCTCGTCTCCTCTCTTTTCTTTGCTTCTCCATCGCCTGCCTCCAGCCTGTCTCCAGTCTACACTCGTCCTCTCGTTTCGTTCATCTATTTAAGGCTGGCCCTGGTAGTCTGCAACAGGCTTCAGTTTCCTGTTGTGGTTTCCTCTTTCTGTATCCTTTTCTCTCTAGTCTCCTCTAGCCATTATTTTGCATACTTTATATCTATAATTTTGCAGACATCTATTGCACTATTTTCAATATATATCTCCATCTCTTCTGTCTTCCCTCGCCTGCCTTGAACCATTTTCCAGGACAGCATTGCGTCCATAACACAGCTATTCACAGTCTTGCCGCTTGCTTCCAGAAATACTATATGAACGATAAATCAAACTGTTTTCTTTTGCAACTCTTCATCTTGTGTTGTTGTTTGATTTCTCTACATTGCAAGACAAACGTTCCTAGGTCAGTCTGTCATTCCGCCAGTCATGCTCGTCCGTAAATCACCGTCCGTAGCTGACTATCAGATCATCAGATCATCAGATCCTTGCATCATCAAGTCACCATGGTGTCCCAAGCCTACAACCATCTTGGCGACAAGCGACACAACCGGGCCTTTTCCCCGTATGTTGGCAGCTCCGGCTACGCCGAGGCACGTGTCTATGTGCCGCCGCAGCCAGACACGCGGACGCTGATGAGCGAGCATCAGACGAACCCGCCGGATCCGCCCCGGAAGCGGATTGCCGTTGCGGTACGTAATCTGTACGGGTCTTTTCTCTCATCATCTTTGTCTGACTGATGGCAGTGTGGCCGGTGTCGCCAGCGAAAGATCCGGTGCAGCGGCGATCTGGGCCAGAACATGCCCTGTTCCAACTGCAAGAGCGCCGGCGTGACGCAGTGCCTCTTCTTGCGCGTGTCCTCCCGCGAGACACCCATCAAAAGCGACCTGGCTCTTGGCCAGCTCGGCGGCGCCCTGTCGGGCCACGCGGGCAGCAGCCTCCGCAGCGAGTTCAACTACAATCCGGTCATTGCCCGCACCCTCGCCAGCCACGCGGCCGTCCCGCCATCGCCCAACTACAGCACCTACTCGTGCCCCAGCGGCAGCACCAATACGGCGGGCAGCATCGGCGGCAGTGTCGGGGCCAGCACCATTGGCCGTGCCAGTGGCGGTACCAGCGGTGGTCCCAGTGGTGGTACCTGTGCAAGCGACTTTGCTGCCGCCGGCGAGCCGCTCCGGTCGTCCAGTCTCCACCCCTACGTCAACAAATCGTACTTGTCCAGCATGACGCCGTGGGGCGCCGGCTACGGCGAGGACTGTGTCGACTACACCGTCCCCGCCTGCAGCCCGTATGCCGTGGCCAGCGACGCGGCGGGCCAGTTGGTGTCGTACCAGCCCTGGGACGTGCGGTCGAAGCAGGTCAATGTTGGTGTTGGTACCATCCCGGACGCCTTGTCAGTGCCGTCGGTACCGCCAGTGAATCCCACAACCAAGACCTCGGACAGCGCGACGGCCAGCTCGCCTGGTCCCAGCCCTGTTCATCACACGTCTCGTCATGGCAACACGGGCACGAGCAGCACGTCCAACACCACCACTGCCAGCTCCACGGCCAACACCACGCCCTACGCCTCGGCCAGCACCACAGCGGATGCTCTGTCACCCAACACGACCAGCGGGGCCACCAGTCTCGTCTACCGTCTCGCCACGGACGCCGACAACGATGACTATCGCCATGCCAATTCGTCTCTGCCGCTCAGCGATCGGCTGCTTGGCCACACCCTACCGAGTTCGCTGGCGAGCAAGTCGTCTGTGTCTGCCGCATATGCTGCCCGCCGTGGTGCGCCCAGCCCTGTGCCCGGCCCCCATCCCCATGCTCATCCTCATTCCCATGCTCATGCTGTGCCGCACTCGATCCCGCATTCCGTGCCGGCCCGCTCGTCAGCCGTCACACCGTACAACACGGCGCCATACACGAGCCACACGAGCCACATGAGCCAGCCCAGTGGTGGTAGTGGTAGTACCACCGACCATGTCTCACCCCTGTCCCTGGGCGCATCCTCGGGCTCGTCCCTCGGTCCGCCGCTGGGCTACCCGACACGCGCCAGCCCGGTCGACCATCATGCCGGGTACGGCTCGGCAAGCGCCTCCATCACGAGCGGCGGTGGCCTCTTTAGTGACCAAGACCGCGAGGTCGGCCTGCAAGGCTCCGGCGGCGGCCCGTCCTCGTCTGCGTCGTACCTCAGCAGCTACACCTACGCGCCCGGCACGCCGCGGCCGTCGAGCGCCGCCATGGCCCGCCAAAAGAGCAAGAAGAAGACGGCCTCCTCCGAGAGCCTGGTGCCGAGCAACGTGGCCCAGACATCATCGACGGCGGCCGTTGCCACCACCGGTTCCCCAGCACCGACAACGACAGCGGCAGCAGCCATGCACCGCGTGTACAGCCCGACAGACGGCCCGGCACCGCCGCCTTTGTACGAACACGAACCACAGCACCATGACACGCGCAGCGACACTCTCTGCACTGGCAGTCATAGCCAAGACCTGCAGCACACTCAACATGCACCCAACTACCGTGTTTGAGGGACAGTGTTGTTCTTTTCATTTTCTTTTCTGATTTGTTTCTCTTGCCATCTCCTCTTCGTCGATCCTGTACGTAGCTCGAGTTTTATCGCGTCTGCTCCCCTTTTGTCCTAGGCTAATTTTTAATTATTTTTTTATTATTACTTTGTTGTTTTTTTGTTTTCTATTATTCTTTTTTTTTTTTTTCTAGAATCCCAGTTTTGTTCATGTCGACTTAAATCATGTATTTCATTCGCTTTTCATTTGTTTTCTCCTTCGTTTCCTGTTCTTTTCTTGCACTGTCTTTGCCATTGTTTCTCGCGCATCCTCCCGTTAGAATCCCTTCCCAGGTTGAAGGGACTGGCGAGGCGGCTATAAAACAAGATAAAACCAAAATTAAAGTAAACAATCGAACATTAAAGTAAATCAAGCTCACCGCCGTGCAAGTCGACCGCTTTCAGCCCACTACAGAATAAACGATCCGCCCTGACAAGGCCGCTTTCAGCCGTTCTCGACCAATGGATGGAGCTTGTGGGGTGGCGGGTGGCTTACTCCTACTTCGTACGACGTAATTACACCGAGCTGCCAGTGCACCCCGCTCTTAACATACGTATTAGACTGCACCTTCCTGCATCGTACAAAACCACAGCTCGCCCCCTTTCTGCAGCTTCTCATTCGGCTTCAAATAACATCTCTTTTACGCCTCGACAAAGCTCAATTACCTCCCCGTTTACGACCTCCACTCGACTTCGACTATTGCAACCACCACCAATACCACAGCCGCCGCAATGCAGGTTCCCTTGATTCGACTCCAGTGTGGAGTCAATTCCTACGACTGGGGCAAGAAAGGCGCTGACTCGGTGGCCGCACAATATGCCGCGGCCACGCCCGCCGAAGGGTTCTCCATCCAGGAGGACAAGCCGTACGCCGAGCTGTGGATGGGCACGCACCCGTCCAACCCGTCCAAGGACGTCGAGACCGGCCGCGACCTGCTCGACCTCGTCCAGGACAACCAGGCGCTGCTGGGCAGCGCCATTGCAGCCAAGTACAAGCAGAAGCTGCCCTTCCTCTTCAAGGTCCTGTCCGTCAACAAGGCGCTGTCCATCCAGGCCCACCCCAACAAGAAGCTCGCCGAGCAGCTCCACGCCCGCGACCCCAAGAACTACCCCGACGACAACCACAAGCCCGAGATGGCCATTGCCATTACGCCCTTTGAGGGCCTCTGCGGCTTCCGCCCGCTCGCCGAGATTGCCCATTTTCTGAAGGAGGTGCCGGCGCTGCGCCAGCTGGTCGGCGAGGACGTCGCGGCTGCCTTTGCGCAGACGGTCCAGGGCCACGAGACAGACGAGGCCCCCGACGCCGCGCACAAGAACAAGGCCGCGCTCAAGAGCCTGTTCTCGGCGCTCATGTCCGCGTCCCAGTCGGCCCTGGCCGCCGCGACAACCAGCCTGCTGGCGGCGGTGGACAGCCCCCGCGCCGACGAGGAGTTTGCCGCGGGCGGCGTCGCGTCGTCGTCGGGCGCCACGCTCGCCAAGCTGATCCAGCGGCTCTACGGCCAGTTCGGCGTCGACTACGGCCTGTTCAACCTCTTCTTCCTCAACTACGTCACCCTCCAGCCCGGCGAGGCCCTGTTCCTGTGCGCCGACGACATCCACGCCTACATCTCGGGCGACATAATCGAGTGCATGGCCGCCTCCGACAACGTCGTGCGCGCCGGCTTCACGCCCAAGTTCAAGGACGTCGACACCCTGACGTCCATGCTGACCTACAACTACGCCCCCATCGACGAGCAGAAGATGCACCCCGTCGACTACCCCTACGCCACGCTCAACCGCCCCGCCTACAGCGCCAACTCCGAGAGCACCCTGTACGACCCGCCCATTGAGGAATTTAGCGTCGTGCGCACCGCCCTCAAGAGCAACGGCAGCAAGGCCACGCTGGATCCGCTCGACGGCCCCAGCATCGTCATCTGCACGGGCGGCCGCGGCACCATCTCCGTCGGCCCCAAGGTCGAGCAGGTCGAGGAGGGGTACGTGTACTTTGTGGGCGCGACGGCGGAGGCCGTGCTGGAGGCCAAGAGCCTTCATGACGGCGAAGAATTTGTCACGTTCCTTGCTTTCTGCGAGGTTGACAGCGACGGGGATGCTGCTGCTGCAAATGGCGCCAATGGTGCTTGAGCGGGTGAGGGCTCACTTTCTGTGCCTGTGTGCTTGTGTGCTTATGTGCTTATGTGTTCTTTTGTCTGAATGACAGTCCTTGTGCTAGCCGCGACTAGATTTCCCAGGCGGTGGTTTTAAATAAAAAGTTTTTCAGTTCTTCAACCATTCGCTACTCTCGTGTCGTTCATCTCGTCGTCTATTCTTAGTGCCCCACGCTTCACATATGAAATGATGTCATTGGCTGTGCAACCCAACATCAACTCCAGTTCGGGCCAATAAACGTCACCCCCCCTGTAGCCCATTTTCGGGGCAGGTTGCCGATTGCAGACCCAAACAAAACTTTCTGCATTTCCCGACCGACGGGTCATGGACAGCAATGCGCCGCCCGACAAACCGCCCACGGAACGGCTCATGACCAGCGGGACCGTTGCTGCTACTGCAGTGCAGCGTTTCTGCCGCCAATGTCTGCAGGCTGAGCCTTCGCCCGACTTTCCTGGTCCAGAGCTTCTGCGGCAGGACATTATACAGGAATACCTTTATGCACAGCTCTTTGCGCCCGATGCACAAGATGGCGAGTCCCGGTTACCGCCCGCATATGCGCTGAGAGTGCTCAAGACACTGGTCGGCAAGATCGAAGACAGCATTGATGACTGGGATGAACATGTGCGCACCAACACTACACATTGGATACCTCGCATTCTAAACAACATCGACAGCGGCTAACACGACGGATTTCAACAGGGCATCTCTGACAACCTGATGGGCTGCCTGGCCAATTCTCATGCCAGTGGGTCACAAGCAGCAGCACTGGCCGACGCCGTCAAGAAGAACCGCGTCGTCTACTACGTGTCGGCTCTGGAAACAGAGCCATCACCATCAAATACCGACGCATCCGCACCCACGATTACCCTCTTCGAGAACCGAGCCACGATTGCCGCCGCAGGCACAACCGGCATCCGCACCTGGGAGGCTGCGCTGCATCTCGGCGCATACTTGTGCAAACACCGCGATGTCGTTGCGGGAAAACGCGTTCTGGAGCTCGGTGCGGGCACTGGCTATGTCTCCATCCTCTGTGCCAAGCACCTAGGCGCGGCTGCGTGCCTTGCCACGGACGGATCGCCAGAGGTGGTCGAGGCGCTGCCTGCGAACGTGCAGTTGAATGGACCGAAGGCGAGCGTCGTCGAGGCAAGAGAATTGTACTGGGGTCCGTCGCCGCCGGCAGACTGGACTGAATGGTCCCAAGGAGGCTTTGACACGATTCTGGGCGCCGATATTACCTTTGACGCGCGCGACATGCCCGACTTGTTGGCGACGATCCGCTGGTGTCTCTCGGATGGAGTGAATAGTGCATCAGGAGGACAGAAAACTGTCATTATCGCCGCGACCGAGCGGAACAGAAAGACCTTTCAGACGTTTGTGCAGCTGGCTGCGGAAGCGTTTGATGTAGAGGACGGGGCATTCCCAGTGCCGCCGAGGGCGAGCCAGGCTGGCCCGTTCTACAGCGACGCAGTCCCCATCCACATTTGTCGCTTGCAGTTGCGCGACGCGGCGCGCCGAAAGCAGTGATATTTCCTTAGTTTGTCATTGAAAATCTTACATAAGCTTAATCTACCCTCACGTGCATTCTTAACGTTCTGCCTAGGGCTAGGCTCAACTAACCACATAAGACCGGAAAATTAGAAACACCGAAAATGGAGTAAGACCCGGCCAAAGTAAAAAAAATACCCCAGTAGGGTATGGTGCGCAGAAGGTGTGCAAAAAAACCCAGCAGGCAAAAAAGCGGACCTGACCCTCTTTCCAGCACCAACCACAGCCAGCAGTGGGTGGACGCAAAACAAAATAGTGTCGAAAAGTTTTGGCCCAAAATTTCCCCTTTGCCCTTCTGCTCTTTTCCTGCCCTCCCCTCCTCGGATTTCCCTCTCTTTCCTTTGAACAACCATCACCGCCCTCCCAGCCAGCATCGACAGATTCGCCCAACATGGCTGACGCAGACACCCCCGTTACCCTGCGGACACGCAAGTTCATCCGCAACCCTCTCCTGGGCCGCAAGCAGATGGTCGTGTAAGTTTGCAGATGGCGAGAATTTATTGTCGAGATGGAGATGGCGATGAAGACGAAGACGGAGACGAGGACGAGATCGAGACGAAATCAACTCGACGACAAAGGCATGGAAGCAACGTTGTCACCGACCGACTTGTCCGAAGGAACCGGCGACTGTCGACCATCGACCGTCAACCATAGTTTCGGCCGCATCGAAATCCACCTCCAGCGACATCGACTCTATTGCCAACAGGCGGAAAGGGACTCGAGGAACGAGAGACGTGCCGGGACATGGACAGCACGATGAACGTGGCAAGCGGCAGCTGTCGGTTTCGATTTGACGAGAACACGACGGCATCGTATGCATGATCGAGAGACTGTTGATCCAGCACAAGGATATTCTCGGAAAGCTTTCTAAAGACGACGCCAAGCGAAACATCCACGTACCTTTCTCGACCTCGTTCTCGTCCTCGACTTTTGCCTTTGCCTGCGGCTTGCGTCTTGCGACGTTATTGTCGTTTTCCGCCGTCGCGTCAACAAGAAGACCCCCCCACTAACATTCTCCAGTGACATCCTGCACCCCGGCCGTGCCAACATCTCCAAGGAGGAGCTCCGCGAGAAGCTGGCTACCCTCTACAAGGCGTCCAAGGACCAGGTCAACGTGTTCGGCCTGCGGACGCAGTTTGGTGGCGGCAAGACCACGGGTTTCGCCCTGGTCTACGACAGCCCCGAGGCCATGAAGAAGTTTGAGCCGCACTACCGCCTGGTCCGTGTCGGCTTCGCCACCAAGATCGAGAAGGCCGGCAGACAACAGCGCAAGCAGCGCAAGAACCGCCAGAAGACGCTCCGCGGCACGGCAAAGGTCAAGGGTGCCAAGGCCAAGAAGGAGAAATAGACGTGACGCCCACCTTTGTCGGGGTACATCCTATTCTGTCGCGCGTCTCTTTGCGTCTCTCGGCTTCGCCTCGCCTCTTCGTCTCGCGCAATTTCCATTTTCACATTCACAAAACTTTCGGGATGGAAGGGTTTTTTGGGCGTACTGTATTCATGTCTGCGCGTGTCTATTTTGCTTTCCGCGCATGCTGAGCCAAACAAAAGGAAAGGATGGTAATGCATTGTGGGAAAACATCGGAGGAGGGATGCGGAATGCTGTTGAAACACAACAAAACAAAATGTGAAGTTCTCTTCATAAAGGAATAAAACAAAAAACACTGGAAAGCCATTAAATTGTGTCCATCGACTGGACGTGGCGTTGTGATGTTGTGAAGTTGTGTTGTGACATTGGTATCTTTATGTACATTGTTCTCTCAACACATGATGCGGTCCAGCCGCGTGCAAATCAAACCCATCTGATATAATATATCCTGGCGTTGCCTCCTCACTGGCCGACGAAACAGACTGCCACCACAATAGCGGCTGTCCACACTGCCGGCCACGACCACGGCAACTGGGCGCGCGTGGCAGCAGATGTGCTCGCATCCAGAATGGGCTCGTGCCAGCCGCAGTGAGAGTACGTACCCAGGGTAACGCACGAGTAGTAGGTTGTCTGGACGAACTTGCCACCCGGCTTCATTGTCGTGGCTTCTGTTGCCTCTGCTGGTCCTGCCGGTGCCAGTGTGATCGATGCGGCCCGAGTTGGCGGCTGTTCTGAGTCAAGGTCATGAGAATGGTCAGCCGGCACAACAACCCCAGCAGCAACAGGTGGTGCCACAAACGAAGGGGATGTTGAAGCTGACGTTGAAGTTGCACATGGCTGCTTTCGTGATGGTGTTTGTGTGAAGCTGGCCGCAGTTGTGGTGGCCGACGACGATGAAGGCGTGTTGTGGCCACAGGACATGGCCGGCGATGCGTTTGTGAAGGTCAGATACTGCGATGCGATGCACGCCAGCACCAGGGCAGTTGTGAATGGTCTCATTTTTGGAGAAGAGTATGGCCGGTGGCAATGGTCTTGGGGGAAAAGTTGCTTAGAATATCTCACTGTTGACAGTAGTAAAATACAATTGCTGTTTTTGTTGTGTGCACAAACGACGACCAGGTTCAACTCCCGTTTGCATCACCATGTTTGGAAGATGCTCCCTCTATATATCCAAGCATTTCTTGACAGACAACGTGTCTTCCGTAGACGCACGCCTGCACACCATTAAACTTGTTTCGTTTCCGTCAAAGCTGTTGTCTCTGCATTCTCACTTTCCACGTCTTCCTGTCAACTGACCGCCTCACAGACAGTGTGCTGCACAATCAGGATTTCAACAGACGTCGTGAAATGTGATGGAAAGGCCTGTTTGGTCTTGGTTCAAGCGCAGTTTGTTCTCTTTTCGAACCAACGCCGACCAAATGTGCTTTTCTTCCACAAAAGTTGAAAGCGGACATTCTGGACCAGTGGTTGCGAGCGTAGAGCATTTTGGCAAAACGCAGTGTCCAGGGTCCACTAACACGACCTCTCTGCAGCCTCACTGAGACTGCCGGAATCTGCTGCAGTTGCATTACAGCGAATCACAACAAAACACTCACACTCACACACCCTTTTTTAAAAAAACGACATAGGCCATGGCATCCACAAGATCTGTAGGATTTCAGTTTTCAGATAAGCTTCATTCGCTTTTGGGTCATATGCCGTTCATCAAACTAAGCAATGCTCAATATTGCTGTATTAGTTTTTGTTTCGAACAAAGCCAGCCAGCCGGTGGCGTCACCCTCCTTCAATGCCGAAAATGAGTTCTATGGAAATGACAACATCTTGGATGCTGCTCTTGGGTATCATGTCTCCCTGATGGCCGTGACTCAGACGTCTGCCGATGCCACTTCCGCTGCCGCTGCCGCTGCCGCCTGGAGAATGCGTGGTTCGAGCATGTCTGCCAAGACAAGACTGCGGTGTCCCGTGTCCGCCTCTTGCGCTGCTTCGTCGTGCTCGCCTCCTCTGTCGTCACCCTCGTCTTCCATGTCGGGCCCGTCAAAGCGGCCATACACACGCTCGCCTGTCTCTTCGTCGTACTGTTTTTCCGGCTTCCGATCGAGGTCGCGGTCGCGACGGGCGAGCACCACACGCAGCTTTGTGCCATCCGCATCGACGCCCACTACTTTGCCTGTCACGTCCGCCACCTGCGGCTGCCAGTTGGTCTTTTCCGACAGTACCCAGTTTTTCCACGTAACGATCATGCCCTCGACAGCGTCGCCCAGCTGCAGAGGCGGCAGGGACGCAATATTGGCCGGCAGTGGCGGCAGCTCTTCGTCCTCGGCGACGACCGTCTCTTCCGACGTTTCTACACCAGCCTCTTCGTCCTGTTCGTCATCGTCAGAGTCGCCATCCGAGCTGCTGCTGCTGCTGTCGTCGGAATCATCCTGAAAACTGCCGTCACTGTCTTCGTCACTGTCGTCATCACTGTCGGACGCGTCGGACGAAGTGTCACTTTCCGCGGCCGGCGCAGCGCGTTTCTTGGGCCGTGGCTCGTCTTCCGCTGCCGCAACGCTGACCTGCTTCCGCTTGGTGCCTGCATTGACGTGCTGCACCACGCCATTTTGGCCGCTTGGGCCTTTTTGGTCCTTTTTGACCTTGCCATTGTTCTTCGTATTGCCGTGCCACTGCTGGACAAAGGGAAACGTCGGAGCGTCCAGTGTAAAGTTCTCGTCGCTGCACTCGACCGCCGTGTAGTTGATGCGCGATGCCCAGTGGTCGGGATGGCCTTCAGGGAGGGTGCGTGGAGGCGCCTTTTCGTTTCCTTGTTCCTTTTCATTCTCTTTCTCTGTCGCTTTCCCGGTCGACGAGGACGACAATGGCACCTCTGTCGCGGGCTTTGGCGCAGCCTTTCCACCCCGGAGGCCGAGGGCAGACGCGAGAAGCCGCCGACCGGCACTCATGTCAAGACGTAGACGGCGGGCCAGTGGTGACGGCGTTTCTGTCGAAGACGTCGTCTCTGCCAGGCGTCCTGTAGCAGGCTCAGCAGGCGCAGCAGGCTCAGCAAACACTGCTGTCCCAGACGCCTCTTGTGCCTTGATCTTGTCCAGAGCACGCTTGGCTCGTCGGCGTGCATTTCGCTTCTTGGTTCGTGCTTTGCCCTGGTGCGGTGCAACGATGTTGGCTGCACTCTGTTTACTCGATATCTCGGGGGGTTTGTCGTCGCCGCTGTCGTCGCCGCTGTCGTCGCTGCTGTCACTGCTGTCACTGCTCGAGCCCGCATCCTCAAAGTCTTTGTCGTCGTCGTCGTCGTCGTCGTCGTCGTCGTCGTCGTCGCTACTGTCGTCATCTGCACCGTTCGCAGTATCGCGTGTGGCAAAATGCACCCGTCTTGGTGCTTGGGCTACATCGTCTCGCAGATTTTGCAGCTCGTCTTTGTCCAGTTCTTCGTCCAGCTCCTCGTCCATGTCGTCCTCTTCGCTGGACGATGTGCCGCTGTGTTCCTCGTTGGATATGTATCTGACAAGTTGTTTACCCAGCTCATCATCCTCCTCCTCCTCCTCATCGTTATCCTCCTTGTTCTCCCAATCGTCCGGGATGCCGCTGCCAAGAGGGCGTCTGCGTTTCCGGGGTGCAATCTCAACCGGTGGCCGGTGTGGCCGCTTGAGCAGTGGTCGCCCAAACGGCACACCATCCACCAACCGGCGCCCGTCCGACGATATCTGGTGACGGCCACCCATGCGGCGGATCTTGAGGTCGTCGGACGACAGCGGACGGATAAAGACTTCGTCGTCGCGGTCAAAGAGCTTCGCAACGAGCTGGTAGTGCAGGCACTCGAAGCGGGATGCAGACGTTGTAGACTGGAGCTCCACCACATAGTCATCCAGGCCCCAGTCAGTGCTCTCGAGTGGCACAGTCTCATTGACCTGTTCGAGAAGCTTCGTCACAGTGGTGTCGTCGGTGGCCGCCAACAGAAAAACGACGCGCGTGTCGGGCAGGCCATTGCGCTGGATGTGGAGCCGCAGCCGCAACGGTCGGTCGATCATCGTGGTAGCAAGTGGCAGCGAGAGCAGGGAACTGGCTAATGAACTGTCCTCTTGCTGTCGAAAAGGAAAAGTCGGGAGGTCAAACGCGTGCAAAACGCAGTACATTCAGTGAAGGCTTGGGAAACGGATTTTGTGTGCTAGTTCGCAGCGCGTCATTGGGCGGTTTAAAAGTGGGGCACCAAACTGACAGCCTTGTCGGGCAGGTCAGCAGGACTGTACAAGCAGCCGAATGGCGTAGTGAAGCGGATTTGCACGGCACGTCCCCTTGCAGAGTAGACAGTAAAACTCATGATTTGATTGTATATACATTCCTATGCTTCATCTGTGCTCCTATGCTATAATATGGTGCCCGAGTCGAGCAAATGGCCCATTTTCTGGATCTACGGCAGTTAGTAACCAGGAACGAAGAAAAAGGCAAATCTGGGCGCGAGGTATTCGCACTCACCTTTGTACTGAGATAACCGTCTACTTCCCGGCTGCGGAAACCGCCCTCGCCTCGCCACGACAGCGGCACCATGGGCACGCGCTCCTTGACGACGACCTCGCGGTTGGGGCCTTCGACGGCACGGATCTTGTCGGGGTTGTTGGTCAGCAAGCGAATGGCTGGCTGGCCCAGGTCGACAAGCATGGCCGTGGCCAGGCCGTAGCTGCGGGCGTCGGCCGGGTGGCGCAGCAGCAAGTTGGCCTCGACGGTGTCGGACCCCAGGTCCTGCAGGTTGTACGCCTTGAGCTTCTCGCCCAGTCCGATGCCACGGCCCTCCTGGCGCAGATAGATGATGATGCCGCCGGCTTTGTTCGCGGGCAGCGCCATGAGGCGGGCGGCCTCGTCGAGCTGCTCACCGCAGTCACAGCGCGCCGACCAGACGGTCTCGCCGGTGTAGCACTCGCTGTGCACGCGGACGAGAGGGGCTGTCGGGGTCGCCGGGGTCGCCGGGGTCGCCGCCTCCGTGGGCGTGCCTGCGGCCGACATGCCGCTCTCTGTCCGACCTGGGAACAGCACACCTGTGTAGGCACCCCGTGTCATGCGGTCGCGCTCTGTCTCGCCCGGTCGCGGGGCATCCAAGCTCTTGCTGCGAATGTGCTCGCCAAAGACAATGGCCAAGTGCTCTTTGTTGTCCACGTCGTTGGTGTAGAGGTGCAAGAACATCTGCGCGCCATTGACCGTGGGAATGCGGGCGCGCACAATGCACTCAACGTGGGGCAGGGTCTCGAGCAGGCGGGGGCGTTTTGAGCCACATCCGCCGGAGTCGACGGTGCTGTCCACCGGAACGCCACGCGGCTCGGACTCTGACGCTGCAGCCCCGGCTCCGGTCCTCTGTGCGCCTGCGCCGGCACCTGCGCTTGTGCTAGTGGGCGTGCCGGGGGCAGGGGGTGTAAAGGCGGGCGAGACCAGCGAGGGCAGCTCGGGCTCTGCGAGGCGGCCTAGAGGGATCTGAGGAATCTTGGGTGGTTGGGAAGACTGTGCCTCCGGCTGCGACCGTGACGTCTCTGCATCAGGCCGTGACCGAGGCTGTGACTGGGGTGGTGGTGTGGAAAGAGAAAAGTCTTGGACCTCTTGGTCGGGCGCCGCATTGGCAGCAGCCGTCCGTGGCGAGTAGAAGGACGGCAGCGGTGCCGGCCCTTGCCCTTGTCCTTGCCATTCAGCCGCGCCGTCTGCCCCGGCCGGCGTTGGAATCGTCGAGGCAGGCATGATGCGCGTGAATTGCGGATGGGGGATGTGGTCCGTCGTGGTCAAGCAGTTGTGTCAAGCAGTTGTGAGGCCGGTGCCAAGAAAAGTAAAATGGAAGAACGTGGAAGGCCGGCGTTGGGAAGTACCGAGGAAGCAACAAGTCGAGGGCCCAGGTGGACTTCGTCCGGATAAGAATATTAATGTGTCTCTGCCAATACCTATGCCCCTTTGCCAATGCCAAAAGTAAAGAAAGTGTAAACTAAAATTGGAGAGAGACAACAGAAACGACGACAGAAACGATGAGCAAGCAAAGCGGGCCAGCGCTCTCAAGAGCCGGCTGGCCGTTCTAGGATCTTCTAGCCCCAATGGCAGGCCGCATGGACGCGGGTTTTGGTCCCGGTGGCTCGACTCACACAAAAGGACGAACTAGGGCGAAATGGGATATGTCGTAATAGGCGCGAAGGAATACCGCCACGAGGAACGGGCGGACAAAGGGCTTACTTAAGCCGTGATGTCACTAGTGGGACGGCACAGCGCATTTTTATCACGTGTAAATTCGTCCGTTCGGCTGGGCGGATGGCTGGCGGCGCTCTGCGGGGCTATCTGGGCATTCGGAGAGTGTTCGGAGTGCTGCAGATTTTCAATTAGCAATGCTTGGTAAAAAGAGCATGCTACAGGCGGGGACACTGTATCTGGGTGAGTAAGACAGTTGTAGGCTTGCAGGGTCGTCTTCCATAATCATCTTGGTAGCAAACAACACATAGTTTTTCTTTGCGATAATTTGTTCACGAGGTATTTATGCCGTAGAAAAAGTTCGCAATGTAATTACTTACGGAGGTCGACATGAATACTGAGGCATAAATTGGATGAAGGGATTATGACATAATATATGTTTAAAAACTAAAGAAAGTTGAAAAAAAAGAAGAAAAAACGAAGCGCGTAACAACGATACATTTTTTTCTCTTTTCTTTTTCTTTCTTTTCTATTTTTTTTTTTAAAAAAAATTCAAAACAGCAACAATGAGCACTTATATTTTCAACACAATAACCCCAAGATACATAACACAACTGACTGTCATAATCATCAAACACACATTGTACGTAACATGCCACCCATGTGAGGCAGGTTGATACAGTCACACAGCCAGTCACACCTCCACAGGATCCCGCGACGCCATCCATCTGCTAAAGTCGTCGATGCCCATCAAACTGCTTAGAAAGATGCGACTGAAATCGTCAATGTCCTCGGCGCGAGCCTCGGCCAGCAACTGGTCGAAATTGCCGATGCGCGCCAAAAAGAAGCGGTTCGCGCGCCAGGCACGGGCAAAGTCGAGCGGACTCGTGGCATGCCACAGCGACGCTGAAATGGTCCAGTAGCGGTTGAGGTACTTGCGCTCGTCGCACGTGCGCAGCGGCGAGCCGACAACGACGCAGTAGAGGTGCATAAAGTACAGGGCAATCAAGAATGTGCGGCGCGCCGACTCCATGAGGACCCACGAGTCCCAAAACGCGTGGGCCGACAATGCCAGGGCAGCCTCGTCGGGGGCGTCCTGCAGAGCGTCAAACGTGATAAAGGACAGCAAGCGGCGGGCGGCGTGCCGCAGGAGCGGTTGTGTATTTTCTACGGTGGCGCGCGCGTTGATGTCCGTGTCGAAGATGCCGATAATGTTGTACAGCAGCAGCGCCTGGGTCTTGGCGATGCACTCCAAAGGGCTCGTGGGCTCGGGTGCCGCCAGCAGGTCGTGCAGGCGGCGGTCAATGGTGCGCAGCACAACGGACGTGTTGACGCTGTTCTTGGCCTGGTAGAGCGCACAGCTCGACAGAGCGTCCTCCATGGCACGCGGCATGCCGTCGCGGTACAGCCGTGGGTGGCTCCAGGGCAGGCGGTTCTCAAGTACGAACAGGCGCGGCGCGTCGCGGATAATGTCCATGGCATGGCCGAGGTGCGATGCGATAATACGCGAGACATAGTTCCAGTCGGCTGCGGCAAGCGGCGCCGACAGGGGCAGAGGTGGTGCTGGTATCAGGCTGAGTTGACCTTGACCGCCGGCGATGTTATCGGTGTGGTCGGCCTCGTCGGCATCATGAATGCTGACGTCATGAGCGTGGGAGACAAAGTCACAGACGGTTGCGGTATCAACATAGACTTGTGATAGACTGTTGAACGGCGAGGCTGTCGAACCACAGCTCGGTGGATCTGCAGTGTCTAGCACAAGGTCACATGGCTGCAAGGGCAGAAAGGTGTATGCGCCATCGCTGGTCGTCGACGACTTCGTGGCCGTCTGGCCTTGCTGTGCCGGGCTCGGATCGGTTTGTCGGACGGGATACAGACACTCGACACCGCGCCGGCGGCAGCGCACACACGCCGGCAGCGTGTTGTCGCAGCGCCTCTTGGCCTTGGTGCAGGCCAGGCATGAGCGTCGACGCGACGGCGGACAAGCCCGTTCCAGCGAGGAGAGTGAGGGCATTTTGGGAGACGGGAGGAGGTTTGAAATGTGTCGAGCTGTACGGCGTGGATGCCCATCAAGGAGAGGGACAAAACATGCCTGCTACCGTAGTCGCCATGATCTTGGACGGCAAGATCACGGGGGAGAAGACGGTCGGAGAGTTGTCTGGACCTCTGGATTACTGGCTCAGGTCGGATCGCCAGGTGAACTTTTGTGAGCTGGCGGAGTTCCGCCCGCTAGCTGGCAGAAACAGGCGCCACAGACGAGTGGGCAGCGACGAAAGGCTGTGATACGCCGAAATTTGTGGGCCTCTGACTCTGGCCGTGGGCAACCTTCTGACGGCAGGAGCACGCCTGGCGGAATTCCACCAAATGCAAAGGCAGTGGGCATGGAGGAAGAAAAAAATGAAATTAACGATGGAAAAGAAGGATGGAGGTGATTCCAAGAGATATTAACTTGTATTTATATTTACGGTGCGCCATTCTCCAAAGATGCTTTCGACGTGTTGTATTCAGCAGACCAACCCCTACGAAAACTCCACTTTAAACTACGACTACGTCTCGACTTACACGCAATAGCGCCTTTCGTGCACCAATAGCGCATTACCACCACACATCGCAACAACATCATCACAATGTCCGAGACTGTTTTTGTCGCTGGCATCACAGGCTGCCAGGGCGGCGCTGTAGCCCATCACGCTCTGAAAAAAGGCTGGACCGTTCATGGCCTGGCTCGCAACATCGATGCCCCCGCTGCCAAGGCTTTGGTGGACCAAGGAGTGCGACTCTTCCCCGGCGACTACGACAACACGGCCGCCCTGGAAGCGGCCATGGCCGGCTGCACGGCCGTCTTCATCGCCCTCGTGCCCCAGTTCCGCGACCTGCCCGCCGAAGTCCGCTGGACAAAGTCGATTTTGTCCATTGCGAAGGCTGCCGGCGTGCAGACGGCTGTCGCGTCGACGGGCGTGGGCTCCGGGCATCCTGAACGCTTTAGTGGGTGGAAGGAGAACACCGTCTTTGCCCGGGCCATGCTGTCCAAGAAAGGCATCGAAGAGGCCGTCGAGGCGGCCGGCATGCCCAACTGGACCATCCTGCGTCCCGGCTTCTTCATGGCCAACTTTTTGGTACCCAAGGTCGCCATGTACCCGGGCTTCCGCGAGACGGGTGTCTGGACCACTGCGTTGCTCGCCACAACCCGTCTGCCTCTGGTCGACGACTTGGATATTGGTGCTTTTGCTGTCGCTGCCATAGCTGATCCCGGCAAGTTTGGCGGCAAAAAGATCGAAATTGGCTTCGATGTGCGGGCACCCGCTGAGATTGTCCAGGTGTTGTCTGCTGCCACAGGCCGGCCGCTGGAGGCGGCGTTCTTGGAAGGCGAGGCCCTTGAGGCAGCCAAGGCGTCCAATCCGTTCATTGACGGCTACTTTGCCATGCGCAGCATGATCGACCTCGTTGATATCGATGCTGTCAAGGCCTATGGCATCCCCATGGGCTCGTTTGACGCCTATGTGCAGCGTCGTATCGAAGACGTCAAAACGACGTTTCTGTGAGGTTGACGGACAGGGAGGCAAAAGGAATGAATTGCCGGTACTAGATAGACATGTCTGAAGTGTGCCAGTGTTTTTTTGGGTGTACCTATTTGTCCTGGTTCAAAACTATATGAGACACAGTTGTCAGTCGTGGACTTGCTACCGGCAGCTGATGTTAGCAAAGTAGAGGATAATGTGGTATACGGCTCTTGTCTCTCGTGATGTTGTCTCATCTACCGTGTTTACGTCGTACAAGTTTGCCTTGCAGATGTGGAGAGTCTCATCAAACGTTGTGTGAATGCAAGTTGCCTCAGTCAGTGCCGTACGCCGCGCGCCATGGTAAAAATTACTCATCATCGCGACCAAGATCCTAAATGGAAGGTACAGACCACAATTCACGGCCACACGTGCCTGCCTCAAACGAACCTTGTTTATTCACCTCCGAACCAGAACCTAATTGTCACTCACCTTCTCGAACGCACCTTCCTCAAACGCACTTTCCTCAAACGCGTCGTCACCAAACGTGCCTTCCACAAACAAGCAATGAAACTTGTTCAAACGCGCCTCCCCGAATAGATATAAAAACCTCACAGCTTTGCCAGTGTCCCGAAAATTTTCTTTCCCATTTCTTACACACTTCCCTTTCGTGCTCCCTTCTGTTGAGCTATCACGGCCTTTTGGGCTCTTCACTCTGCACCTGCATCCTCACAATTTGCATTCTCGCATAGATATTTACGTACATCTGGTAAGCTACTCTTTGCATTTCATTGATTAGAACTGCAATTTCCATCACCCATGATGTGACCCATCGCGGGTCTCCTGCACTTGACGAACCCAAAAGAAACATAACATTAGGAAAGAAGAACGAAAACCCCATCAATGTGTTGCACTTGTCTGCCATCCCAATCCTGACGCTAATTTCTTGTACTGTGTTCACCAGTGGCAATTACTGGCGCGCCGACATGCCTCGAAGACGCCAAAATCGGAGGGACAGCCAGCGCCGCCAGCGCCGCCAGCGCAACCAACGTGCGTCCGTACCTCCTCGGA